GCCGGTGGTGCCAGACTCGAAGAAGCAGTCCAGCACAATGAGCAGCTTGGTGTTAGAACTGAGGGTGAGCCCGGACCCCAAGAAGGCACCCCTAATGTCGGAAGCCCCCTTAAATAAGAGCAGAGAAAGGTGCTGTTACCCCAAAGCGGGCAGGGAGCTCTGCTTTGCCCAGTGCTTGGCGGTTCGGGCTTTTGGACCTCAGGCCTGATTGGCGACTACAATTGGGACAAGGCAGGGAGCTGTATTTCGGGTAACGGAAAGCTGCTTCAGAGAACCAAGGCCGAACCACGCTGAGCCCTTTAACTTTGGGGGAGAAGGAGCTCCGGATCTCGAAGCCCATCCCCCAGCCCAAGCCCAGAGCCGCAGACGCTGAAGAAGTTCGACACGCTGCTTCGAAAGGGTGGCCTACAAAACCGTGATGCAAACCAGGGCAGCCTGGCACAAGAAGGATTTGGCGTGGTGTGTTGAGGCTCTTAAGGCTGCGAAGTTTGCACAAGGCACACATGCCGAGCTCAGAGTTGCTTGAAAATGACATCCCCGATGCCAATTGCCAAACGTGCCCAACGGCCCGAAATCCCGAGCCAGCAACACACAAACCTATGGGGCGAGTCCTTGCCAGAATCCCAAAATCCTTGGACTGCTTTAAGGCCACTGGGCAAGCCACTACGCCTATGATGTCGGGCCGGAGGGCCCGTTGTCAAGCCCGATTCTCAGCTCACCAGGTTCCGAATTCAGGGGTTTTTGATGCGTGCGTGTTCTGAGAGGGGCCATGGTCTGAGGCTCCGGTGCAACTAAGGCTTGGGCGTGTCAGTGTGTCTGCATACAGAACCGCGGTCATGCGTGTAGTTCCCGGCAGAAGGACATAAGGACCTATTGGGACAAGGAATTGCGAGACTAAAAAGAGCCAAGAAACGAACAACCGAATTATCACAGCTTCACCCTCGACGCAATAAAGAAAGGACACCGGAGAAAAGGAAGTGAGAGAGTCCCATCAACAGACCTACGATCTAGAGGTGCATACTCTCAAAATCTCTCAAATCCATTCAAATTTCCTACTCCGCGACTTGTCGACAAACCCGACGAGCGCGATTGACATTGAAAAGGAAGCACATGGCAAGTAAGCCGATGCCCAACGAGCCTTTTCAGGAGACTCCAAGAGAAGCCTTTAACATGAAACGTTCCCCCACGACAGTTTTCAACATGATCCGGATGCAGAGGACATCCGAAGCGGGCATGTTGTAATTGACTCAGTCATCTGATGCGAGCCATCAGTAGATTGACAAGATTGACAAATGCAGCTTGTGAGTGTGTCCGAGTATGCGATTGGGCGGTAGCATCTTGCATCGCCTGGTAGAAATACGCATCGTGGAGTGCCCACATGGTGTGGAATCGCACTTTAGGCCATCACATCTCGCCTTGAAAGGTTATTGTTGTCGATTTGTGGGGGGCGGCCACATTGGGGAGTCGCACTTTGAACAATTGGCCTACCCACCACAAGTCACAAGACTCCTTGACAATGGTGCATGAATGAGTATTGAGATCCCATCATGAACTTCATCAAGGACACGTTGTTGCCCAACAAGCGGGCTTTGTAGATTTGTTTAAATGGACGAGGGATGCATAAAGATGCCCCTTAACTTGTGCGATTTTCATTGGAATTTAGCGGAAAGACGTTTTGATGGCAAACGATGACAAGGCTAAGTGAGGTGGAGTTCATTGGGAATACATTATGCCTCTTTCCAGGGCACCAGGGTACAGCAACTACACCTATCAACTATGATTATGAACTCATGAACAGGGCTGTCTCGATGTGACGCGTTGTGTGGGAGACCTATCCTGCAGCATGAACCTCGTGGAAAGAAGTCCGGATTGCAAGATACCCTAACCCTCCCTGCCCTCAAGGCTACTTTGAAGATATTCTGTTTTCCGCTGAAAATCCATCCAACCCTAAACCCTAAACCCTAAACCCTTTATCCACAGTCCGACTGCCAAGCACCCGGAGGTCGACTTCCTGACTCCGAAGATCGGCCTCGCACGGCCCCAGGGTGCTCGGCTCGGAGGGCGAAGGCTGTGGCCTGGTGTGTGTGTGTGGGGGCATTTTGTGTGCCTAGGTGTGGGGGGGGGGGTCGTCTTGGGCGAGATTTTTAAGTTCATCGAGCTGTGGGGATGTGTCTGGGCTTGTGTGTGCAGGGAACTCTACTGGCGGCACGGTGCTGTCCCAAATTTTCGGTGAAGATCCAGATCATGGGTCCAGCTTTGTTTTTTTTCTGAAATGCAGATTCTATTGGGGGGCGTGGGAAATATACTTGTGGGTTACTTGAAGCCTTTCTGAGTTGGGCAGTAGGACTGCGGGACACAGCTGACCAGAATCATTGCGGTCCAAGGTGCCGTCCCATCAAGCACCGACCGCAGCCTGTCAAGGAGGAAGTGGAGAAGAACGACAACTCGTGGCCTTCATGCATCTCAAGAACTGTTATGGTGGCTTTTCTTGTGCTGGAGCTACGCTGCTTCAACCCGCGGGTGCCCAAAGGTATTTCTTAGACATGCTCTGAGCATGTAGGAGCGATGCAATCTTGTAGATCGACTGCGTGCGTTTAGCGCCTGAAGCCCATACAGAGCTATCAAGTGCAAACCCCGGAAAATCTACGATTCCAAGCAGTGCGTCATGTCTGGGACTTCCTCGTTTCCAAGCAGTGTGTACGGACAGGATGAAGGCCACTTGTGGATGAGAGGATGTCTGTATTGCTGACATACTTCACTTGCCTCCGTGCTACTGTAGAACAGCTTTGCATCGGACTGTCCTCAAAATGAGAAGTATCTGATCGGGGCTGGCTGTCCGTGCTCTAGCTGTGGCTAGAAATGGTACACCTTGAGCTTCGACGTTGCAAACCCCAGAGGTGTTCCGATCTTATCTCATCCATGTGGGCATAAGCAGTACCCTGGCGACATGGAAGCTCCCAATCGAAGCGGGGTAGAATTGTTATAGGGGTACCGTATCCGGCCCGACGGCCTCCCTCTCAATACCCGCCAAGTCCGGGCTCCTCCTTGCCAAGCGCACCGATACCTCCGGGTGCGGACAACTCGGAGCAGCCTGCAGAAGAGCCGGAGCAAGGCAGGGATGTGGGGTTTTGAGGGTGGCTGCTGTTTCGCTGATTTTTTAACGCGTAAGGTGTCGGTTGCTGGGCTACTCTGTGGTTCTTTCAAAGTGTTGGGCCGGCGCACAAGTCGTTGCAGCCGTCTAGTTTGGCGATGCTCTTGCCGTCGTCTGTCTTGTGATAGTCCTGAAGGCCCTACAAAAGTGCCAGTGCCCCGCATTCTTCCTCTGAGCCCACCTTGTGGAAATCATTCCTGGTACGTGGTAAGCATTCAGCTGTCGTCACCAGAAACCATTAGGGCCCTTCAACATCTTGTACTCGTAGCAACTTCTTCGAGCGCAGTTGAGGACGGAGTGCATGCCTCGCATACTAAATCGGATTCGAAGTGGAGCGATTACATCGAGAAGGCCACGCTGGTGTTTACGGGCCCCTCAAGACCGAGCACGCGGCGTCAGAAAACAAGTTGGAAGCCGTCAAACCAGCACAAAGGGCACACGAGAGCGCTACAGGGAGGTCCTGGAGGCCCTCCTGGGAGGAGGCGCAGGTGCCTGGTGAGCGACAGCATGCGGTGCACACGGCCCTGACGCTTCTCACATTGCAGAACGCGGGGCAAGGTGGTTCAAAGCGTCCAAGAGGGGCGGAAACCCCAACCAAACCCTCAAACCCTGACCACCCGGAGCCAAGCCTGCAGAACGAGGTCTAACTGAGTCTAACTGCCACTTGGGTGGTCTTCGGGCTCTTGAATCTTTCCCGGCTCATGTCGGGGGCTTTTTGCACACGCTTTTGCTAATATTTTCTTCATTCGCGAGCAATTGTAGTAATAAGTAAACAAATGAACATATGCCCGAAGCAAATACTGTGTATCCACATCATGACACGGGCGATGTCGAAGAGGCGACAAGGGTGAAACAAGCAGGTGCCTGCAGCTGGCCAATCTGAATACCTTGAGATTCTCAAGGTATTCAGCTTCAGATCTTGCAGAGAGGCTCTGCAAGTCTCTTCCGACCTCTGGTATTTTTCGTAGACGAGTTTTGTGGCAACGTAAGGCTTCGCACACGCAAACGCGAACGTCGGTCTGAAAGAAGCCCCTTGAAGCCCGGCTGCGTGTGAGCAGACCCCAAGCAGGGCACAAAGAGCCCACAAGGCTGTGTAAGGGGGACGGGAGGAGAATCAGGAAAAGCCTTGGGTGTGGGATGGCAGGGGGTCGATGAAAACCCCCCCTCCTCGAACCTGTTTAAATGTACCTGGTTCTTGCCCATGGACCTTGTTGGGTCGCTTGGGGGGGCCTCACACAGGGCCGCGCCCTTACCCATCTCATTTGCGCCTGTGCCATTCCCAATGTCTGGCACATGGTGGCACACAGATCTTCTTTTCACCTTCACGCATGAGCCTCCTTCTCTTCGTTTATTTCCTATGCTGTCGAGTCCTGCAAGGTGCACGCATGATTGGTCCGAGCTTGTTGCCTTGCCTTCTGCACACACACACACACAAGCACACAGCAGCAAGGAGCCACCCACACACGCATGCACCACACAGACCCACCCACTGAACGCCCACGGCCACAGCCACCCAACCCCCAACCCCCCACACACTCGCATCGCAAGATCAACTATCATCACATATTTTGATTCACACTGGGCATATGTGTGTGTGTGTGTGCGCGCGCGTGCGTGCTTGCGTGCTTGCGCGGGGGGGCGGGTGTGAGCGCGTGCGAGCGTGTGCGAGCGTGCGTGTGCGTGTGCGTGTGCGTGCGTGTGTGCGCGTGTGTTTTTTTTTCCAGCCTTTCGGCGTTTCCCGTGTTGGCATGCGCTTGTTTCGTTGTCCTGGTCCTCGCCGTTCCGACATCGGACAGGCGAGAAGAAGCCCACCAAGAATGCCCCCTTGCTGCTCTCCTTGGCGCGCTTCATGACTAAAGTCAAGGCAAGGAAGTCCAAGAGGCCAGGGAAGCTCAGACTCAGAGTGCCTTCAGTGTCCTCGCTGCTCAGCAGACCTGACCAGGGAGAAGATGGACGAGTTCTTCTACGTGCCAGAGGTGAAGGCGAAGAAAGCAGCGCCAGCGCTTGCCTGTTTCTGGGCTTTTCTCATCACAAAAGAAAAAGCTTGCAATAGGTACCCAGAGCGTCCCGAAGCCTCACCTCAGACCAGCCGCTCGAGCTTGCTGACAGCCATCTAGGGGTCCCAGCATGGCCTGGCATGGAGATTTGAGCTTGAGATCTTGCAGGCGAAGTGGGCCCGACGGCTCTCGAAGCCACAGCTTCTCACAGCAGAGATGGATGAGGACCTGTCTTCCTCGCATCCGGGGGTGCGATTCGCATGGAGGCTTGCGAGGATTCTTGGGGCTTTGGGGGTTTTCGCATGGTTTTGTTGATCATCTGTGACCGGAGCCGTGCAGTGCCAACCACGGGAGGGGTGACTTCAGGTTTCGACCCTCACAGGTGCTTCCACAAAGCAAGGCTGCCAAGCGTCAAACGGCTGAAGACGTCTGTTGCCGGCGGCAATGCCCCACATTAAGCTGAAACTATCATTGCTGTTTGTTCATCGCTGCCATCGTTTCTACATTGATTGGTGGCATTCTCTGACACTGTCTGTGCTACACTGATCACTTTCTTGATTTGCAATGTATACCTGTTTGCTTGATGTGGATCCAACTCCCATACCATCTGCACACAATTCTCATTTTCGTTATTCATATTTTCGCAATCGCTTTTGATCTTCCTTCGCGCCAGAGAAAGAACAAAGAATAACAAGACAAACAAGCAGCACAGATCAAGAACAGGAATAACTAGAATAATAAGAAGAAGAATGCGAAGAAGAATAATAACAAGAAGAAGAAGACCAGAACTAGTTGTTGGACTTTCAAGGCGGCTGCCCTGATGCACGCTTTATCAAGAGAAGTCTTTGTGCCAGATTGGCCACGAATAACTTTCAACACTATGTAATGCAATACAAAAAAGAGGAAGCAATGCGAGGCGCTGGGGAAAACGCAATGTGGTGTCCGTCCCTTATGGTCAGCCCCAAATGCCCCCTCGTCCTGATGCACCGTCAGCTCCCTGATGCCGGTTGCCTACCTGTGTACACAGTCATTGTGTTGATCAAGTCAACCCCCCCCCCCCCCCCCACCCCCCCCCAACCCACCACCCCCCCCCCCCCCCACCCCCCCCCACCCCCCCCCCCCCCCCCCCCCCCCCACCCCATCATCAGGAGTGGGCCGAGTTGCGGGACAAGGTCATGGAGAAAGGCTTGGGCCAAATATCTACAACGGGATGGGTGGTGGGGGGGGGTTGAGGTGGGGGGGGGGGGGGGGGTTGAGAATGATTTGAGGGCAAGTGCCAGGCCTTCTTGACCTTGCAGGTTGAACATACGGAAAAATGCAGGCTTGCTTGTAAAGCCATGGTGGTACGAGACCTGCGATCTAGGATCTAATGAGGCCAAGGGCGTGACGTCAGCTAGGGTCAGGGTTTGTCTAAGCAGCTGGATTGCTGGATTCCTAAGTGAACATGCGATTCCAGCAGTCCCAAGCACTCAAATTTTTCACAAGCGACAGTTTTCCTGGAGCGCAGGCCAATGGCAAAAGCACTCCCGTCGAAAGGTTGAAGCCATGTTCCAGGCAGGGAATGGGCGGACAGATCGAGATTTAGATGCTCAAGCTTGAAATAGGGAGCAAGTCGGAGCGTTTCCTCTGGTCAGTTGTGCAGGTATCGGCTTCTGATGAACTGATCGGCTATTAGTGGGAACAGCGTTTCTGCATTGTGTGTGGAACATGCGATTTTGGCAGCTGAGTAAGCTACGTAAACGTCCGCTTATTCAATGCCCCTGAACCCTAGCAAGCCCAAGGGCAACCCCCTGCAGCGAAGTGAACGGCCTGCAGGAGGAGGAGTTCGGTGAAAACTGGGATCGCCAACAGCGGACACTGCAGAGCCTTACATGGACAAGTCGAAGCATAGGCCGACAAGAATGGAAACCAAGAGGAATCCATTCCATTTTTGAAGCATCCCCACTCTGCCATTATGGCGTGCGCCTGGGGTTGATGAGTTTGGGGGTGGGCGATTTTACACATGTGCATGGGAATGCACTAACCGCAGGCCGAAGGGATGCTGGTACTTTACAAGACGCCGTCACATGTAAATGTATGACTGTGGCGTTCTTAGGGTTGTGCAAACGCCAACCAAGATCATCTAAACTTTCGCGGTCGTGTTTTATGAAGCATCGGCCCGAACCTACTCTACAGAATCAGGTAAACTAAACGCACTCCCGAAATGCACGTCTGTAGAATTGCCAAGGCATGCCCTCGTTGCTTAGCTCCGCTTGCTGTAAGGCATTAGTTCGCAGCTCTTGTATGTGGACTGTTGTGATGACCCCACCGCTGCCTGTAGATACTCCTGCCTCACTAAGGAGAGAAAAGCATCGCGGGCAGAAGGAAGGCATCTTCGACACTCTATCTTTCGTGAGGCGCGTCCGGTTGCGAGGCATGTCGAGGTATCTCACAAGCAGGCATGAGCCGCATGTCTCCTGCATGTGATCTTGTTGTAACACGGGGAGTTTAGGTGGTGGTGGTTGTGTCGTTGTCGTTGTCGTGTCCTTGTCGAGGTTGCTGCTGCTGCTGCTGCTGGTGGTGGCATGATTGCTGTTGCTGTGGTTGCTGTTGCTGCGGTTGCTTGTGCTGTCGTTGCGGTTGCTGTGGTTGCGCTTGTTGTTGTGGTTGCGGTGCTCGCGGTCACGCTGGCTGCGGTTGCCGGAGGCGGCGGCGGTGGTTGTGGTCCAAGTTGTGGTGGTGGTTGTTGTGGTTGTGGTGCGTCATCGTCGGTCGTCGTTCCATAGTGCAGTGTTGAAAATTTGTTTTTTTGGTGGTGTCGGTCTTGATGGTGCTAATGGTGGCGCACGTGTGTGCACTCCATCGTGCACATAAAACGCGCCTGCATGCTGAGCTGACAGGTGGAAGGTGAACAAGCAGCTTCGGCAAGCGATGCAGGAGATGGCTGGGCAGAAGCCCCAAGCCCCATGCAGATTCAGAGCTCGACCCGCCCTCTGTGACACTTGAAGTTGACGTGAGTTGTCTTTTCCTTAACCGCCTTAACCTTTCTTCTCTATGCGCGTGGATGTGCAAGAGTAGGGATGCCAGTAGAATAGATTTGCAGTGGAGAAACCTCGTTGACACAGACAAATTGCAAGTACAACAGTGCGTCAATTGTTGTTGAATGTAGTGCAGAGCTTGGGCAAGCAGAATCACGCTCAACAGCAGGCTTGCCGCGGTACAACATCTGATAAGCTTGGAACACTTTTGACAAGTTCACTGAATATTGCGCCTTCTGAAATGACATGTCATGAGCTCCAACTGGCCAACGTGACATTTTCAGCGGGTGGAGGCTCCTGGCACACAGTCCAGTCAAGCGTCCACTTCAGTTGAGCCTGGTTAAGAACATACGTGCCAGAGTTTGGGGGTTGACAGTTCCTGTATGTCACGAAGATCTTCGAACTTGGTACCGTGACGTGCCCTGCATGCACATCCTAAATCCCCTAACCCTCGAGATCCAAAGAATTCCGGAGCCCGGGCCACCTGACCTGAAGACTAACCCAAAAACCTTGAGCTTGCAACTCCAGGACGTGGAGAAGGGGAACAAGGTCAACTTGCCTCGGAAACAGGACCCATGACGTGGACTCTAAACTCTAAACATACATATTCCCGCACTAGATATGACCCAAAGCCAGCCCAAAGCTGAAATCCCAGTCTGATCTACGAACATCCTAGACCCAGGACCGTTCCGCCGGCCCTCCCCCGCCCGATCCCGTATGGATTGTGGGTGACAAGGACACTTCAGGCGGGGCTCTGTGTTTCACGGTGCCAACGGAGGGTTTGCTGGCGGGTTTCGCCTGTCGTCGTTGTGAGGGCCTTGAGGTGTGCGACTTTGGGGAAGGCCTTGGATGTAGCCCAGATCCATTGGTAGCTTTGCAGACTGTGTCGGGTTGGCGCTGAATACTTGCAGTTTCGGGATAATCTGCTGCTCGTTGGCATGCCTAAGGTGCCAGAACTTTCGAAGCTGTAGACGAAGTAGGGTTGAGGGTTTACCCTGTTAACTGTTGGGCCTTGTAGCCCATTTGATCGGACGCGGGCTAGGACACGGTGCAGGGCTCAGGCCTCTAAGTTCTATGACTTTCTATGGCTTTCGATGGCTTTCTATGGCTTACCATGACTTACCATGACTTTCCATGACTTCAGACATATGTAGGTCTGATCGGCATTCTCGCCGAGAAGCCTTGACCCGAGTATCCTCAAACCCCAAAACAACGCTGATGCTGTTTTCAGGTTTGGAGAAAGCCCGGGAGCGGATTTCCACCCTCCGCCACTTGGCAGCCAGTTGCGAAGGGCAGGATGTGGAAAAGGAATCAAGATTCCGTTAGGGTTGTTGGGTTCTGGGTATCGATGTGAGCCCAAGAGCGAGAGGGTTCAGGGTTCGGATCGGGACATGCACCCAACGACAAAACCTGGCTTTGCGGTGAACGAAAGACTTGCTTTGGACAAGATGTGCTCAATGCACTCGACTCGCTAGTCTCCTGCGAACCCTCAGAAGAGTTGCACGGCCCGTGCTCCCTGGGCCCACCGAAACATCTCCCCGAAACTTCTCGGACCCTGCTCTGAGGTGCCAGAAAGTATCGGGGCAAACCTTTCATGCCCACTGGTCAGGGCCGTGGGTGGCGCGTGGACCAGGGTTCCTTGGCCCTTGGTGTTCTTCATGTCACAGCTTTCAGTCACTAAGATGGCGAGAAGCTGCTCACACTTCATACATGTAGTGGCTGCTGAACTGGGGAGTACTGGGTATGGTGGATCTTCGGATCTTGTTTCGATGCTCCCCCACCGCTTCGTGCCTCCCTCGATGTGCGATCGAGGTGCTTGGGGACGTTCGTGACATTGAAGGTGTGAAAGTGTGAAGGGCAGACGTGCTTGAGCCAAGATCTCTTCGACCACGTGGATGAACTGTTTCAGCAGCGTGGCGAATCCCCTCTTCATGAGGACGCCCCGTGGATGGCACTAGATTTTCCACGCTTTATCTTAGCATGTCAGCCTGCACGATTGTGCACAGTTTTACAAGTACCAACAAAGATTCGCGCAATTGCTGTAGCGTTGGTGGATGAGCCAGGCGGCTTGGGTTAAAGGAAGTTTCATCGGCGGTACGTCTGCTCTTCCCCTATGCCCTGTTTTTTGCTTGTCACCTGCAAACCGAAGCCACCCATGAATCCACAATGCCAGGTATCAGTAAGTCCAGCGTTGCACCCAGCATCAGGGGTTCCAAAAGCCAGGATGGCACTGCTCGTGCAGCTTCCGAAATGCCAGGAACAAAACAGAAGGCCCAGGCACAGGGTAGGGTTGGGGCTTCTCGGAGAAGAGTGTTGATTCAGGATTGGGGCCGGAACCATCTGTGGTGCAGCATTGAGGAAGCAACAGCATGGTGATAGATTGGGGCTGTAGGTGGAGGTAGATGCAGGCAGGAACTACATGAGCATCAGGTGGAGGTCTTGCGAGTTGGTCTAATGTAGGGGCAAGCATGAACAGGCTGGTCGCTCCGACTCTGTCTGGAACTGAGTTGATCAAGAGTTCTTCAAGCCAAGAACACGGATCTTTCCCGAAATGCGCTGTCCAGGGAGGCTTGGGTACTTTGCAAGAGGGGCCCCGCAGAGCCTTTTCAAAAGGAACAGCCAAGTCCCGAGGACTCGGAGAGCGAGCGAAGCCACAGCTCTGCTTCGCTACAGAGGCCGGTCAACCTCCATGGCACCAGCAGCTACTGTACTAGCAGCAGCTACTGGCAGTCACTAGCACAGCACGCTGCTTGTGTTACTCGGGGCCTGGAGAGGGTTGGGTTTTTCAAGGCACGCAGTGGTTGCCAAATGCCGCAAGAAAAGGCCAGAGGCCCACAGAACGGCCACGTTCATCGCGCATTTCTACAGGACAACAAGATAGTCCCATCCAATGTGTGACAGCGAGCGCCAGGAGTGCGCTTGTGCTGCTGGTGCACATGCTTGCTGTTACTGCCGGTCCTCGGAACAACCTCCCCACGTCCGCTTCCCTTTGCTGATTCACTGCCGAGAAGCGTTGGAAGAAGCCTAGCAGCTTCCTCCGGCTCTTCCACATTGATGCCAGTTTCACAGATTGTCCTTGGTTGTTCAACGGTCTGTGCTAGCTTATGGAAAGCCTTGTTGCTGTCGCCCTGCCGTCTGCTGTCCTAGGCGTCCTGTCCTATTGTAGACAAGCATGAGGAGCCCTTCCGACAACAGCCAAGTCACAAGCTCCTAACCCCACGAGTTCAGGGACAGCAAGACAGCCTTTTCACCCGCAGCAGGCTTTCGTGTTTTTTGACCCGCCTCCACAAACCCTAAACGAAAGTTGACGCCAGGCGCGTGGTCTCAGCACCTGCGAGCATCCGACGCGTCCAAGCCCGGCGCATTACACGCTCGCGTGTCAAGGTGCTTTGGGCGTCCAGGGTTCATAATTTGGAGCTTGGGTCAGGTAATGGGACTCCCCAGCAAGCCAGGCTCAACCCTGAATTGTGAAGACTCAGGGCAACATATAGCGGAACCTTGCAAGCTGCAAGCCTAGGCACAAGATGCCCACCATGAACCACAGGGGGGGGGGGGGGGGATACCATGGGGGGGGGGGGGGGGGGGGGGGGTGACCCTAAAAGCTACGGCTGAAGTTCTATGTCGTCCGCAACCCAGCATGCCAGTCTCGCGAGTTGTCGGTCTTGCCGCCGTGGATGCGACAGATGCTGCTGGGTCTCATTTGGGCTCTTCCCGTGCAGCAAGGCTTTATCTCGCCTTGCGCCAATATGAACGCTTGCTGTTTCGTAGCAGCTCGTATGCGGTAGGTATGGAAGCAATTCTCGAGTTAGGATGCCAAATACCTCACAGGACATGGTGGCATTTATTGCAACCCCCGACCCCGCGCCTAAGGCTCGTGCGTGATGACGTCTGGCAGCAACTTCCGGCCGCAGCCCCGGGAGTGCTGGAAGTGTCTGAGCCGTTCGCATTTTCTGGGAATTGGAGCTTGACCGGGGTCATGCAGGCACATCTTCTTGGGAGTGAGACAGGGTAGCAGCGGCAACAGTTCTTGGAGCATGGCTGCTAAGTATGTTACGTAGCCAGTCTCATGCCCCGCTACAACTTAAGAAAGCACTACCAGATGGAGGGGAGATAGATTGTGGGAGTATCACTCGCTGCTTTTCGTTAGTTGGGGAGCCGATAAAGCCCCGAAAAGAAGGACGAACTGAGAAAGCATGAGGTACTACAGTAGCGACAAAACAGATCGGGCATGCGCTGCCGTAGGAGGTCTCTCACCCCGAGTCCCTATCTACAAGCACCACTATGCCGAATTAATGTGTGGGACCGAAACACATCCGAAACGTCACAGCCCCAATGCTGAGACTGCAAGCCTGAGGAAAGCAGTCCGTGGGACCGAACTTGCTGGCTGCAGCCCGTACGCTTCAAGGGCCGCACGGGCACCGCCACCGGGCCTTCATTCGGTCATGGGCAGCCTCGATTGCAGTTCCATCGGCATTTCTTCGACTTGTGCGTGGCGTCGTATTCTGAACCAGACCAACCCGAGCCAGAACCACCTAGCTATACAGGAAAGCAGCCGAAGCCCTGTAGAACGCAGCCTCAACCAACAAGCCGGTCGCTCCCCTCCTTCAATCGATGTTTGTTGTTGGTCCCGTAACGAGGGATCTATAGATGCCACTGTCATCAGAGTCTTGTTTTGCCATGGGGAATTAACAGTCTTTCGGAATCCTGGAACGTAAAAGGCCCGGGCCCCCTGTATAGTTCGACGAAAGCACCAATCAAAGGATCGTGCCATGACGAACCTCAGCAGCAATCGGAGGAGGTTCTTGCGACGACGCATCCATCTGTTCGTAAAGCTTCGCAAAGCAAACCGATGCTCTCGCATGATCTTCTGAGCTGGAGAGGCCATAAGGAGGAAGCTCAACACCCAAAGAGAGAACCACAGGTAGCAACCGATGGAGAGCCGATACTCAGAAGCACTTGAGGCCGGAGCAGGTTTCCAAGGCGCTTGTGCGGAAGAGATCCCGAAGCGACAAGCCCCCCCGGGTGGTGGAGGCTCGTGTCGGCGTAAGGGTCTGATCTAGTGACGACTCTTGGATATGACCAAAAGAGTATCCTCCAAGTTTTGGCTGCGGCTCAGGGCCAGCTTAATCTTGTCGACACGCTGTAGCGGCTTAGTTTGTCTGTGTGTGTGTGTCTTGCACCAAGTGCCTTGCAGTGTGGATCCCTGTGTATCTAGGATGCATGTTTTCGGCAACGTCCGTACCTTTGCGTACTTGTATTGTTGGCGGGCCTAAGAAGCTGAGGGTCGTGATCGCATCCACTCCGAGGCATGTGGCCAAAACCGCATACGTGCCAATAGTGCTTGGCGCTTTGTCTACAGTGGGACTGTCCGTTTACGGCTTGCTCCGTCGTCCCTCTTGCCTTACCCCATCTTCATGGTTTGAATGCCTGCCAGTTTCAGTTTGAGACGCGACTGGAATCTTGTTAGCAATGTGCACAGACTGTGAAGGGCACTCTTTGTGCTGAAGCTAGGCGGCTCCCAAACTCCTGCGGGCATGTCGCAGTGCATGACTTCTGCACATAAGTGCTTCTACCTCTCTGTAACCCAGCGCGCGATAGGATCCGGTTCTCTTTGTTCGCAAAGCTTGCCGTGAGCTGGTCGAGGCTCGACATGGCATTGACAGCTGCGTTTGCGTTTCCAAGGCTTCGGATCTCACCCGGTACCCGGTTAGACCTATAGAGAATTCGGCTCGGCGCTCGGAGTAACAGCGGCTTGGCTCACTCGCACAGTGTTCCCTTTCAAGCTACGTACATTACTCATGACACCATTGTGGGCAATGTCCGCCGCGCTGCCGCACTCTTGTGAGGAGTACGCGCAGTCCAAGACAGGGGAAAGCGTGCCCCAAGCAAAAGAAGCAGAGAGGCCATCCCAGGACGGGGGGAAGTTGATCGCATGCACCCTGCCTTCGTTCAAGGAGGAAGGCACTCGATTCTTCACGTATACCCATGTGGATCCCCCCCCCCCCCCCCCATGCGTGTAGGCACGCATTTCTGCATACGTGTGTGCGTGTACCGAGTGCAGGAACCCAGGAGGCCCGGGTCACCCATGTCGCTGGATGCCGAGACAAGACACAACCGGGTGATGGCAACCCGGCTGCAGAAGCCGGAAGACTACGAAGAGCATGCCCTCCATGTGTGGGATGCGCTTTGGGCTTCTCGGGGGTTCTGCCGTTCTGCACTTAGGAGATCCTGGAGCAGGACAGCTTCCTGACTCAGGAGGGGCCGCCATTGCGCTCCAGGGCTCAATGACTCACTGACCAATAGGCTTGCCATAGCTAATGCTTGGGTATCATGTACCCAATGGGCATTGTGAAGGTGGACATGGACCAGCCCCAAGTGGCTGAGTGGCTGTTGAATTCTTGCAAATTGTACCCGCCCCCCCTCAGGTTGAGAAATTTTGAGAATGTCGGCATTGCTTGAACTAGAAGCAAGCGGAGAAGTCACGCAAGAGTTCTTCTTGAGAGGAGTTGCTTAAAGGGACCATTTCCTACGGTTGCAGCAGGTCTTCGAGATTCCCTTCTCTTGACCACGTGGGTGGAAGACTCCTGCGTGTCAACAAGACGTTTGAGCACTAAAAAGCCCTAAACACAACACCTAGGGCCTCATGCCCCTTTTACCATCTTATACCGCAGTACCTCTTTTGCCTTCTGTCTTTGTACACACAGTGTTAAAGGTGCTTAGAAGCTTAACCCTGGTCGTCCGCAGCATTTTGGCTGCAACAGCCGTCCAGCCCTCCTTGCCATGGCCCACGCTCCACCATCACCTCAGAGCCCCCGACCACTCAAGCGGCTTCGGGGAGGCGGGGAGTGGGGGGGAGGGTGGGGGAGCTGCACGCAGGAATCAGCCGTCGTAGCTGGTAAGGCGCTTGACGGTTTTCGGGCACCATGCAGCGGGAGAGTGGCTAGACAGCCAAGTTGAGTCCAAGTTTCGGAGAGAGAAGGGGCAGGGAGCGTGAGATTGTTGACTCGATTGGATCAAGTTTGAACCGCCTCGCACAGTTGCATGAGGTAACCGTGGGCCTAGAGGAATGAAGGCACCATCATTGAATCAAGCAGCCACCCACTTGCTCCGGATCAGGATCGGGTGAGGTGCCTGGCATGGACTTTGGTGCCGCAGGCTCCTCTATTGCTGTTGGGGCAGGGAAGGTCTTGCACTGGTAGCCCAGCGCAGCCAAGGGCTTCCCGTAACGGGGTGATCCAAAGTGGCACAGAACTGTGAGGAAACGTCTTCAATTGGAGCTGGCCGGCGAGGGTGGACGAAATAGGCAGCCTGGAGGGATGAAGCCTTGATGAAGCTTCCTTTTGAGAGAATGTGTGATGGCCTTGGGCTTTCTGCCTTCATAGTTGGCAGGTTGAGGAGTCAACGGCTCGACATGGTTTCGTGTCCGGACGTGTTGAGGGTTTGCTGTTTGCTTGTGTGCCTGGAATCGTCGGTAGACAAACCGAACGGCCTGAATCTCAAAACTTCAACCCTTGGGCAGTCACCTTGAGACCCCGTGAGGCTCTTGAAGCGCACCTGTGTTAGTGAGCAGCCTGAGATCTCAGCCCCTGTCATTCAACACTGGACTTCAAGCTCTGGCCTCCTGCACTCCTGCACACGCTCCAAGCCGTGCCGTGTTGTCAGTCTTGAACTGCCAATGCCTGGCCCTGTGCAAAAAAAGCTTTCGGAACAGCCATGGCAGACATGCCGAAAGTCCTTGTCGGAGAGGGCGCTCCCTGTGATCCCCTATTCAGAGCACCCCTGCACCGCCTGGAGGCAAGGATCTGCCAGACTGCCTTGCTGTCACGGACACCCGGCCGCTTCTTTCTTTGCGGTCAAAAAAAGAGAAGCGTACTGCTGGAGTCTAGGTTTGAGGTCGATCCTATGGTCGGTCACATTGATTTATGGCATGCTCCCTGGTGAATCACAGCGGAACTCGTCTCAGTTTGCCCCGAGGATGGCTCACTGACCCTTACCTGGTCGCAGCTCTCCTCTAGGTCGAAGGCGCCATGCCTGCAAGATGCAGGAAGCTCAAAAGCTTGTTGGAGGTTGAGCGTGCCTGTCGTGCATTATTGCATTATGAACAACGTGATCGCTTCGTGGATTGAAGCTCCACCTGATTAGCATGTCAGTCCTCAACAAACCTACAATGCTCTTCAGGCGGTCGCTGCAGCTCTTCGTACCCTGGGACTGACTGGGAGCCCCCACAGCGTTTACCCGTGGCCCGGCTTCTTGCATTCAGCGGATGTCGTCATATAGGCACCAGCACCTTTAGCTTTTCCTGTGCGAGGGATAGACCGGATAGGGGCTGGCAGCTGCACGAATGATGATGCTAGTCCAAGAACGAAGCGGCATGAAACAGCAGGTCTGGCGTGGACTGTGTTGCAAGATGTTCATCAGCACTTAAGTGAAGTCGCCGCGTTTATCAGGGAGTTTACTGTTGCACACTTGATGCGTTGCAGTACCATAGTTTACATTGCTGGCTTCCTCGCTCGGCTAGTCTGAGTTGTGGGCGATTGAGAGAGCTCGTGGAGGTGTCATGTCAAGGCTTCCGGCATCTTTCTTTCATTGGCAAATTCCCAACATCGTCTGCTGCTGGGTTCCAGCGTCTAAAGAAAAGAGGGCCGGATCACAAATCCACTGGCCGACCAAACAGGAAAAGTTGGACAACTTCCTAAATTTGAAGCTATGCTGTTGGGCCTTTGAATGGGAGAATTTTTTTGTTCTTGGGAGCCGGAAGGCTTGCTGCTGCCTTTGCTGAGGAAGCGGTTTGGGGACGTCGTTAACGCACCAGCACCCATGGTGCCCATCTCAGCAGAAAGCCCGGGATCAAAGAAGGCTTCGAATAGCGGAAGGAAAAAGTAGGACTCTGCAGACGAGAGTGGTTGGCTCAAGGAATCGATCACCTTGTGGAACCTGGTCTCTCTCTCTCTCTCTCTCGCTCTGTTTTTTTGCTCTTAAGCCCATCCCAAATACTTGAGCCATCAGCCCGAATGCTTGAATCAGATGTGTTCGCAGGTCGTGATGCTACCTCACGCGGCCGAGTCCTTGATCCTTGTCCTGGGCGTTTTGCGACAGGGCTTCCCTGTGTTGCCTTTGAGCATCACTCACGGAAACAGGACCTTCGGAGGTTTACAGGTACAGCTCGTATTTGCGCTCTTGCATCTGCAGCGTAGCGAACGCCATTCTTCCCAAGGTCTCACATGCATTGAGGGTGCATGTGTTCCTGTACATCCAAAGTCTTGCGCGTGTGTGTGTGCCTCAAGCACAAATTGCCTGAACGTTGCGATTGCCTGAGATGCTCGAAGCTGCAAATGCAGGACCCAGTTGCTTCAGCGCTATGAGGACAGGGAAAGGGTTCCCTGGGCACGAGATTCAATGCCCCCCGCCCCCCCCAAACCAGGAGAAAACGACCATAGTAGAAAATGCAGTTTTGACAGAAGAATAGAATATTATACTAGGTTTTTTTTAAATGTAAATCTCACCGAACACGCCTGGGCCAGTCGGCAAATGTCGGCAATCAAGAAGACTCGCTTGACACACGGGTCATGTGCGAAGTAGAGGAAGCGATGTCGCTCTTTGAGCCTGTGGCGGCCATCACCGACTCACCCTTGGTGGCGGAGCTCCAAAGTCGTCGGCCGGCACTTCAGGCCGGAATCCGCAAGTTCGTCTATCCATGGCATGTCCTTCTGTCTTCCAATGAGTCATGAGTAAATCACAAGCTTTTGAACTCCTAAGTGCATCTTAGGTGTTAATGAATCATCGAGGACTCTTCAATCATGGTAACCTGTCGATTCCCTTGGTCTCACTAGACCGACTCATTCCAGTCGGCTTTGTAATTTCGTAGTGTTGCGCAGCGGGGCATGGTGCGCAACTTTGCCATCAAATCCTGAAGGTGATTTCAGCTCACGAGCTCCTGGCAGCAGATCACCCGAGGAACTATGAGGACCAGTGTGCTGGGTAAGATTTGTCATAGTCATTCCCAGGCCATCAGCATCGCAGCATCTTGCTCGGAAGTCCTTGCCGTCACAAGCATCGCAACTCTTGTGCAGGATGTGCCAAGCACGACGGAGCATGCGCTGGCCTACATGTTTACTTCAGGCAGCACAGGCCGGACCGTCCTGTCGCCATCGCTCTCTCTCTGGGTCCGTCCATCTTTGTCTTTATCTGCAGGGAACTGGGTCTAGTCTGTTGAGTCTGGGTCAGCTTGTCTGATGCAGCAATACAGCCAATCCGAACGTCTTAGATTGCAAACCACAGCGACTATGATGACCAATGGCTAGTGCAGGATGCCATGCAGGCTGTGGAAAAGGTTTAGGTCGAGTGTGTCAGGACAGTCGAAGTGCGTTTGCCTGACCAACTGCATGGCGCACAGCGAGACGGAAGGGCGGGAAGCCAAGTCTCTTTCTTGGGGGCCTGGGTACTGGATGGCGGCGCTGCCTTCCGAGATCCCAAAAACCCCTGCCATCTACCGGCTAACATCGGGAATTGACTTCACCGCCCCCCCACTTGGGAAATATTTGCGGGTGCAAAAAAAGCACTTCCAGGAGGTCGTGGGCCTGAATGCCGTGATCTTTCGGGACAGACATATAGTCATTAGGTAGAGGATTGTAGAGGCTCCAGGAACTCTGGGACTGTGGGGCCTCACTGCGAGGTATCCAGAGCTCTTCAGCAAGCTGGGGTACCGCGTTGACCCGCATAAGGCTCCTGCCGAGGAAAGGGGGACGGAGGGTTGGTCGATTGCACAGGCTATAGATGTCCTCAGGCCTACGGAGAACCACAGCAGTAAACGTTTTGCTGGTGGGAGTTTGCTTGTCGTGGAAGCAGGTATGTGTGTGTGTGTGTGTGCGTGACATTGTCCTTCTTCGCCTGACAACTTGATGCGAAACTATTTCGGGCACGTATGATGTGATTTTTATGTTGTAATTGCTGCGTCGAATTCTCAGAATTCAGAATCCACGGGTGTGAGCAACACGCCTAGAATGCCCACAGGACCCGCAGGCCCTTGTTGGTTCTTGATGCTTCCATGCCTCAAGCGCGGTTTTTGATGCTTCGCGTTGAGTTGATTGCTTCGGTATGGACGTCTTCGAGGAATGTCATGCGATCTGTACAGCCGCAAGATTCCGAGTGGGGCCCTGCCCATGTCTAGTGCTATTCAATCAGATTGAGGGGGGGTCTGTTGGGGTTCAAGGGGTCATTGGTGCTCGCACACCCTGTCTGACCCGGTGTTTGTTGCCACCCATTATATATGCCGGCAACTCAAGTTCATAGCGGGCAGAAGAATGTACGCAACCAAGCCAGCATATGCCCGAATGGCAGCTCGATGCATCTCCAGCTTGCAGTAACGGGAGTGAACATGCGAGCGGTGCCCCCATCTCCGTGCCTGCATGGACATCCTGCCCCTTGTGCAGGATCGCTGGCGCATCGACCATGAGATGGGTTGGTGGGGTGCTGCCTTCTTCGGGGAGGTGGACGTCGCCCTTGCCGGAGCCTTGAAAGGGGGGATAGGTGCAGAGTGCTCTGTGCAACGCCTGGAAGTCCCTGACATATGAGACGATCTCTTCAGCCCCAGATCTGATACTGTAGAAGCTTATTGTAGGTAAAGTGTTGAGCTCCCCCAGGCAATGCGCATGGGCATCGTTCTCATGAAGCCGACCGACCCGGATTGGGGCGCTCGTGGCATCACAGTCTCTGGGGCACTTCCGTCGCAATTGACTTTCAGCTGCAGTGAAGAGTCAAGAGCGTGGTCTGCTGATACAATGGGGGAAGCTTGTACAATTCATGTGAGGGTTGATTCCGTCTTGCTAGTTCCTTTGAATGGGCGCATTTCTCTGTCAAAGCAACAGATATCCCCTCGATGCAAGGAGGCTTTGCTTGGGCCAGTGGCTTTTCCAGTGGCTTAGAGTCGCGTCTCCCAGACCAAAAAAAGCCGGTTTAGGTGATGCTTTTCGAGTCGCAGCCCGAAGCCCCGAGCAGCTCCGAATTGAGGAGCAACCTCTGGCCTGGTGCAAGGAACATCCCTCCAAGCCTCAAGGTGGTCTTCAGTTGGGCATCCTGGCACATTGGGCCTCGTAGCAGTTCGTCAACGATGCGCGGCATGTACAATCTACAACCCTTGTAGCAACGAAGATGCTGAGGCAGAGCGTTGCGATGTGGAGCTCGGTGCCACGTGGACTCTCGGAAACGACTGCTTGCGTCATGTCGAAGCGGTGATTTGCCTGGAAAGGCTCTGAGCATCCAAAGGGGTGAGGTTGGTTGTGTTGCCTATGGTGTAGTTGTTTTTGAGACATGTAATGTAGCGTGCACCAATGATTCTATATGTACGCATATGTGTGTGTCTAGGCAGCATGGACCGTGCAAGGCTAGCATGTTAGCATGGGTGGCAATCTTCAATTTATGAATCCTTAAGGCTGGCACCACCAGTTCAAACTCGCACTTTTTCTTGGGGGTTGTTCTGGATTGGGTGAGTGACACCTATGCCCTATGCGGTCATGGATATGCCGGCAGTAGTGTAACGCCGCCTGCTGACAACTGCTTCGAGCCTGAGAGCACGTGTGCAGAGTCTCTTGAGTGGATTCCTGTAAAAGATCGGGCGTGGGCAGCCGAGGAAGGCGGCTGGAGTGCGCATGGCGGATCTGCTCATTGCAACGGAGCAGAGACTGAAAGTGTTTTCAGGTTGTCTCAGGAGGGTGCTCGTGTGCTTTGGGGTCTGTTCGCTTTTTGAGTTTCTGTCAGTACGGCTAGCTACTAGCTGCTCTGGAAGTGGGCCTTGTGCGGTTCCACAACTGGCGGAAGACTGCGCTTGCGGACCGGGATTTCCAAAGGTCGAGCCTTCCTAAGCTTTAGAACAACGCAGGTTCTGGTCGGATTCGGCTTCGGTCCTCTTGACTAGGAAAAGGGGCATTGCGAGAGTTTTTAGGCTTAGGTTTCCCTTTGCCTCTGCTCTTTGCCCCAAGATTCTGTCTCGGCTGAGGAGTACTTCCTCACCTTCGCTTCCTGCAACCTGGAGACTGCGACCAGCGACGGGCGCAGCGCCCATGCAATGCGCCCTCTAGGTAGAGCCAAGGCTTCTGGGATTGCAAATGCTTCTCTCGCCTCTGGCCCGTGCGCGCCTGCCTTTCTGCTTTGGAATTCTTAATTCCTTGGTCCCTCAGAGCGTCTCAGAGCGTAGCCAAGTAGAGTTAAAGAAAGGTGACCTGCACCTCGCAACAATTAACAGCTTCAAGCCTTGACTCGCTACTCCAAACTTCCAACTTCCACGTACAGTTCCGAGAGCTTTCGGTCGTGTGCTCCTTCAGATCTGTCTCCAGAAAAGCCGCAGATGCAGGTCTACCTCCTTGACGAGAGCTTTACCCCGATCGAGGCCTGCCAGCCCTTGCCGTGGTTCCATACGGCCATTCGGACGATTCTTGTGAGTCCTCAGATGGCCATACAGAGCAGCCCAGATCGCGCCATGCCTCTACAGCGGCTTTTGAGTAGATGAAATTCGCACAGCTGATCCAGGCCATGGCCAAAACGATTAATGGCAGTGCTAGTACCTCCTCTTTTGGTTTTGAGATTTTTTGTTTTCGAAACTCGTACCCCTTCGGCCAATGCCCCAACCATGTCTAAGGCATCTTGTCACCCTAAGTTGGCGCTAGCGAGGCCTCAGGTGAGGCCTCCGGATTGCTTGGCGTGGCTGGGCCACAGGCGGCCCGGACAGCCATCTTTATTCGTGGCGGACTCCTTGTTTAATGGGGGTTCACTTGTGGGGGGTTCCTGTGCCACGGCCGTATTTTGGGGATTTTTGGGGCATGCTGTTGTCGCTTAAGGTATGCAAGCATGAAAAGACTCACTTGTCTAAAGGTAGCATGAGCATGAAAACTTGACTCGTCGGCAATCCAGGTTACCCCGGGCTACGTCGAACGCCCGGGACTGAGAGATCATGCTGCAGCAGAGGGCCTGTCGTTCATCTGACCCAGCCCCCCCAAGCTGCCTCATATCGGCGTGTTTAGGCAACCTGTGCTTGTTGTGCCAGCAGCGCGGATTGCAAGAAGCTGCAGGGCTCGACGACGGCTCCGTGACGATTGGATCAGGACCCCTCAGCCAGGACATGTTCAAGGTTGGGCCACAGTGCTGGTAAGCTGCTGGTAGTACTCGTCATCAATGGCGAGACGTAGTGCTGGCAAATACTTCATGTCTTGTTTGGCAGGTGATTGATGGTGACTGGGCTGCTGGGCTCACTTTGTGCCACCATGCCCGCTGGCACGCAAGCTACGGGTTCACTTTGCAGCATGACGCTAAGGTGGCCGTCCCGAAAGATATCATGAAAAAGCAGCGCGACCGCTACATCAGCGTGGGTCGAGGCAGGCGTACTCCACAGCAGAGAGACGAGGTGAGACCGAGCAAACACACCGCTTTTCTTCCCGTCCTTACGAGGTGGCGGCACCGTGAAGGTGAAGGGCGGTGTCCTGATGGCCACCAATGTGGCCGAGGTGCCCCCCTCCTATCCCATCCCATGAAGTCCCAACTTGGCTTCGAGGTTTTAGTGGGGACTTCTGCGGCCCTGCAGAAGCGACGGAAGCTTGGGTCCCCTCTCCAAGTTCCCGATGCCTCATTTCTTAATCGCCTCCGCCTGCAGGGATGTTGAGGGAATTCCACCTCAAGAGAACGAACACAACACATGTTTTCGCGCATGAGCCCCCTGACGATCCTTGCCAGGTGAGGCTCGAGCAGGGCGGCGCGGTGGCCAGCGCGTGCATTACGGACCCTCTGCACGTGGAGGGCGGAAGCACCGTGGTGCTGGTGCCTTCTGCTGCATCCGTGGGCGTTTGCAGTCTTCCATCTGACCCTTTCTTTGACGATGAGATCCCGAGACCCAGGGTGCAAACCACTGCTGAAGTCTTTTTTCGGTTTGTTCGTTTTTGGGGGGCTCAGGTTGATTTAAGAAGGGCACACGGGTTGCACACTCGCGAAACATACAGAAAGGCACGCGAAACATACGCCCGAACTGCAGGTAAAGTAGCTCATGATGCCCCCGAACTTACCCCGAAACATGCCCGCGAAACATACCCTGATCCCAAGCCTGTCGCCCGCCCCCCCATCACCGAACTAACCTATATACACTTCAAGAACCTTAGGGAACCTTGGGGCCTTGGAAGTTCAGCGATGAAAGGAGCTGCGGCAGCGCGATGCTTGGACCCTGCGCGACAGCTTGCAGCAGGACAGGGTCTTGGGCCTTTGGCCGTTGGTTTTGAAGTGCACCTTCAATAAAACCGAGGGACAATGGAATCTCAAGCCTTGCTGCAATTTCCGGATGTCCAGAATCAAGTCGCCGACCTCTTTTGAGGCTGGCTTTCTGCGGCTGCCAGTGCTCTTCACACGGACACCTGCGGCAGCATCTGTGTTTACGAGTTGTGCTTGAGTCGTATGAAAGACGGTAGAAAGACGGGATTTGTGGTGCAGGGCTTGCCAGGCTTGCGGTGGGAAGGGGGGTGGATGGAGCGAATTCAGCCTTACAGAACGATGTCTATCCGGGTCTATCCTTGAAGCTGATTCCCGAAGTCGGCCGAATGTTTCGTGGCTCCTCGGCCTCTTGCCGACCGCGCAACCTTTCTGCAACACTGCATCATGCTGTCAGGAAAATGCTTCGTAACGCAAGCACTGGTGCCTTGGGGGCAAAAGGGGAAGGCTGGTGGTCTAACGTGTGAGAGAGACAGAGGCGTGAATTTGGCAAGAAGCTTCAGACTTTCGCGGCTAGAAGCTTCAGAGGTTCGGGTTGCTTAGCACAAGCCATGTTCTGTTAAGTAGCCATGTGCCTGCGCACGCGCTTCATGAAGTCAAGGGTGCAAACCCAGAAGCCAAAGAAACGAGGCGCAGGGGCGCCAGCCTAGCAACCTTGGTGCCCAGGAAAGGTGCAGAAAAGCCTCCTTCAGGACTGATGGAGAGGGTGCCACTCTCTAACCATTCCGACATCGATAGGCAAGGGTGTGTGCCGCCCTTGAGCCCTCCAGCCTCTAGCTGCTATGCAGCGCTTCCAGCACGTGTCTGGGAGGGAAGGATCTCTTCAGCCGGTTAGGAGACGAAGTCACCCTCAGGAGCAGAGGAAGGCCGAGCTGGAGCTGGAGCTGCAAGCTCAAGCGGCGCTTCACCAGGCGCAGGACTCACAGGCCAGCTGACGGGATTTCTGCTACTTGGGTTAACGTCGGCAGGAGTCGATCTTGAGTTCTTGCATCTTTCGGCCTGCCAGTCCACCCAGTGGGTTAGGCTCGGCCTCTCGAAAGGCCCTGGAGCCAGAGGGTTCGCACGCTACGCCGCCACGCCAGCTCATGCGCGGTGCTTGCTGAGCACGATTGCTGCATGATTGCTTCCGATCTGCCGAGGTGGCGTGGTACCTGAAATTGGCAAGGCCGAGCTGAGTTTTTTTTGTTGGCTGAGTCTTCCGCGGCATGTGTTGAAATCCAGCGTACCAGAACCGGAATAGGGAACAGGAATGGCAGTGAGACGCCCACATGGCCCGCGTAGCAGAACTAGCAGGACTGCAGCCTGAGGCCTTGAGGTCCTGACAGGTGCTGCCTTGCCAGGCGGCCTCTCAGCGCCATCCTCCTGATGCAGGGTGGGACCGTCTTGAATCTGGGTCAGGCGTGCGGCCGGGGAGGAGTCTGGGCTGAGGTTTGCTTAAGAAGCTCGTCTGGAGTTGCCCCAGGGAAATGCCGCTACTGTTCCGCGAATGTAGTCACATATTGCGCAGACTGCACGAAGAAAATGCACGGATGGCGCACCTCCTTTGCGCACCTCTTTCAGTTCTTGCATGCTGTCGGAACCTTGCCAAAAGTCGGCCGACAGCCTTGTCACCAGCGATGATGTCAGCACTGACTATGGCCAGCGCGTCCCGATATCTCGCCGTCGTGGCTGCTGATCAGTCGATGATGGCTGGACTCTACAAGCATTGTGCACTTAACAGAAGCAGGCATGTGACATCATGTAAAAGTTTGTGTGCAAACACGTTGATGGTGCATAGCTTGTCTCTTCAGACGAAACGGCTCCAAGTCTCGACTTGATCTTTATTCGTAGCGATCTTCTGCACATCTTATCGCAGTCCCCAGAAATCACATCCACGAGAGCCAGCGGGCAAGCAGCCGACACTTCTGGGATCGAGTCCAGATGTATGTTTGTGCAATGTCAACACAACATCGAAAGAAAGCCCCCGTGCTAGGCGTTGCTGGCGGCCAGCCCGTCTTTGCTCGCCTGGGCGCTGGTGGCTGTGCCCAAGGAGAGTGTCAGCGGCTTATTCAGTCGCACCTTTGATTGCGGAACGGGTTTATGAAGAAGGCATGCTCCCGCATCTACCTGCAGCACATGCAAGGAGCACCTTCTAGTCATTTTAGTCGGCTCATACAAGGTCCTCTCCTCACTCGTTTGGCTCGGCCGTGACTGGGGAAGCGGGTGGGGGGGGGGGGGGGGTTGTTTCGTGGCCATGCCCGTGCTTACGCAACGCTGAGGTCTTGCAGCTCTGCCTGGTGTCCTGGACATATGGTGCCGAGCCAAAAGTACACAACTCCCAGTTGAGCCATGGAGATGTAGAGAATCCTTCTTGAAGGTAGCTTAGGGTCTTAAGGTTTGTACTCGTTGCAAGGGTAGTTTTCCATGCATGGCCCATTGTCATGATCGTTTGCCGCTTACCTTCATTAGATGGCGAGGGTCTGCAAGGGCTCCCAAATGAAGGGCCTATACTGAGGGCTTCTGCAATGAACCGCTAGCTACCCTAAGGTAGTACGTTCAGAGTTCATTCCTCTGATTTGGACATACTGTCATTCCTGTGCCTTGAGACACGTCCGGAATCGTAAACCATGGAGGCTTCAACTTCTGCTTGTGAAAATAACGTGCGTGAAGGTTAGGGGGGCTTGTAGCCACATGTAGCAGAGGCAGAGAAGTTCGAAAGCATACAGTCGAGTCGTCTGCTTTGGGAGCTTGAGACTTCTTCAGTCGCTGCGTGGTCCTGTATCTCTTGTCCACGGGTGCGTCCTCGGACTAGGGCACAAGCAAAGTGGTATTGCCAGGCCCCGAAACAAGGCAGGGTTGCAGATGTCATTGACTTCAGGTCTCAGGCTCTCACGCATGGGCAATGACATGTGAAACTCAGCTTATCCGAGTTATGGCTTTTAATCGCCTGGATCTTTCGCCTTCTCCTGGCCTCTTCCAGGCTCCACAGGACCTGGCAAGCGCCCGTGTCAAGCCAGGTGCCTTTGCACAAGCCGGCAACCTTGGACGATCGCAGAGCCTTGCCGCTCTCTGCCTCACCGCCACGGCTGGGGCGCTGGCGGCACCGTCCTGGTTTCTGGACATTTTGTTATAAGTTAAACAGTCAATCCGTTGGAGGGTTTAGGACAGCCTTGGGGGGAGGTGGGGTTGATGGGTGTGCCTTGTGGTCGAGGTGTAGGTGAATAAGCGCCTCTGCGGTATGCCAACTGGAGAGGCACCAAGCTGAAATGAGTTAGGCTCACGGGCCAGGGCTGCATCCTGAAGGGTTTACGGAGGCGTTGCGGGTGGTTGCTGATGTTTGCTGGTAGGCCTCCGGCACATCCTTTCATTGAAGAACTCGTTTTTCGTGGCTCTGTGAGTGGAACGATCATTCCTGAAATCTGGGAGCTGGGATGTGGACAGGCGTTTTTGGGATACCCTCGCCTTCCCAATCATGCCTTTCGGTTTTGAGGGCTTAGGGGGATTGTTCATGGCCCACAGCTTCATTTCAAGGCTGGGGCTCGCAGCCGGTTCAGCTTTGCTGGGCGCTGTGGCATGGAAGGGACCTACTGACTTTGAAGAGGTGCTTGGGGCTCTGGGAGGGACTGCTCTGTGAGTTCATGGGTGTGCTCCTCGAAGGCGCTTGTAAAGGTGGCAGGTGTGGGACAGTGCGACGATGGGCCGCGTGCACATGCGGCAGCTAGAGTGCAGCTTGCGGGCTTGTCAAGGTCCGCGCCGAACACGCAACTAGAACATGTCTCTGATGACTACTTGGCGTCTCCAGCAAAAGCTGTGTTGCATAATATCAATTACTTGCTCCCCCCTGCAGCCCCTAACCTTCAGCAGCATCAGCTTGGATCGATTGCCCTTGCAGGTGAGCCAAAACCGAAAGGAGAAGAGGCACCTTGTCACTTCGATTATCGTCGGCCTGGGCTTGAGGCTGTTGCCCTTCAAGGACCTGGGCATCAAACACCTGGACAGCATTGGCGACAGAAAGAAATCATGTGCGCCGAGAGGGCTGAATGAGGGCTGTAGGCGGACCACGACCATGTCTCTCCAAGTCCATCGAGTGGTATGCTTGCAGGATGCCACGTGGATCTACTCTCTCGGAATGGTCATGCTCTTCGCTTGGAACCGGAGGCGGGGATAGCTGGCAACGTGCCTGTCGGTGCATACCATCGGAATGCCAACTGTCAGCACTGTGCTGCCCCTGCAATGAGAACTAAGATCTCAGCATTCTGAAATTGAACAGCTCAGACTGTGAGAATGGCCGCGCTGATTCCGGGCCTTTTGGTTTTCTGTTTCTTCTTACTCGTAGCCATCTCTGCCCAAGTTTTAGCACGCCATCCCTTATTACTACCATCCGCTACCGAAGAAATCCCTTCGAGCCATGGCATCCCTCCACGCTCAGCAGCTTGAGATCATCGTGGCCTGCACGAGCAATTGCTTCTCCTCTGTGGGCATGCTCCTCTTCAACAAGCTCGCGGTCCAGGCGCTGCCTTTGGAGTGCAGCTTGGTGCCTGGATGCATGGAGACGGCGCACATGACTCGCACATCATCGGATAGGAGTTTGGAGGCTTCAGTCGCCTTACTGGCTGAGGTGTGGCTGCAGCTCTTCTTCGCTGCCTTCTTTATGCTTATCTTTGGCTTCCCCTATTTGCATCTAGGCCGTTGTTCAACGTTGTCGGCGTGCCTCAAATTTGAGCCGGTCGAACGCATGTCATCTCACGTTGCATGCGCTGTGCTACACAACCAGGCACATTGGATCCATGAGAGACTTCCTGCGCTGGTGCATGGTCGTGCCCTGCTTCACTGGCATGCTGATGCGCCCTTGGCAAACATTTCGGTGGGGTTTTGGTGGGTTTGGGACACCCCGTGCGGAAGGACACTTTCCCGAGAAGGATTCTGTTCTTTATGACGGCTTCTTCCCGCTGTCAGCATTCAATACATGGGAAGAATCCCACGGACGCTTTCTACCCTTGAGCCCCAAATCCAGAATTCCTACGTCCAATTAGAAATTTGAAGCAGAACTACAAGCTTTGCAAAGCTCTGAGCAGTGAGGACGTCCATCCTTGCCTTGCCCCTGGGTATAAATGGAGGCTTCAATGGAACTTCTTTTCGTCTTTTGCAGTCAGACGGTGCTTTAAAGTAGGCAGTTGTTGGATATGGGTTCTTGGGCATTCTTGGGTACCATCGCCATTTTGCCGGTTCCATCGTGTATGCACCGAGCTCCTAAGGAGCTTGGCATTCGAGTGACACGCCCTCGGCTTTATGTTGCGTCCCAAGAAGCCCTGTACAAGAAGGTTCGCTCCACGAATTCAAGAATCCAACGCATTGCATCGGGTAAACTTCCGCTTCCTGGCGTAGGCGTGCCTGGTGTAGGCGTGGTGGTTGAACTGCTAGCATGTACTATATTGAGTGTGCCTGGGCTGGTGTTGAATCGTGTTCAGCCTGACCTAACATATCGGGTCGTCGAACCTTAGGTGACCCCCGCGACCCCCCTCTTGCCATCAAGGAAGAGCGCGCCCATGTCCCTGGTCATCGTCCTGAGGAGCGCCTCGCCCCTCTTTTCCCTGCTTATCGAGCGCCTCTCGACAGGAAGCAACTGTGTGCTTGGGAAGGCAAAAGGCATGAAAAAGGGGCTTGTATAGAAGCAAGTAGATGTAGCGGGTTGGCTGACCTTTCAGTGAGAAGCCCTTTCAGCCAGTCATTGGTCGTAAGCTGTGGAGTGGCCCTTCCGCGCTGACCACGACGAGCTCCGCTGCTAAGGCTTGTACCCTGAGCCGCTGCGCATCAGTTCGGGGATGGTCGGTGCTATCCTGGTGATGATACTTGGGCCATCAGAAGTGCGCGCTGTTCTTGTCTGCAGGACATAGCTTCCCTGTATACTGTAGTGGCAGGTCATGGCCATCATGCTTGTCCAAGGCACAAGCCGAAGGTCCAAACTGAAGCTGTAGCCTAATTATGAACGCTGAATAGGCCACAGTTCGCTTGGAGAAGGTCAAGCAAGCTTTCATTTGGCATGGCATCACTCCCCTGTGCTCTGTGCGCCTGAAGCTGCTTGATGCGGCTGCGGCACGGATGTGTATTGAGTTCTGTGATATATGGTTATATGATGCTTAGTTTGTGGTGCACTTACCAGCCAGGAGACGTTCTGCTCCGGATGTTCTCGAAGACAGAGTAACGAGAAACCAACGCCTTCCGCAGAGCTCAGGATTGCCGGTGCAGTCATGTACGTCTCCCAACTCCATGCAGAACACTGGCAGGCCAGTCTGAGTCTGGCCATTGAAGACCCCCTGGCCTTGGAGGGTACGCAGTGTGCTCATGTTTCATGCAGGGCATCTGATGTCCAGCCGTTGGTACTTTGGTACTTCAGGGTGGGGTATGTTCCACGAGCATCGCAACAAGTGTGCTTGAGGGTCTGGCATGACGACTACTTGACTCCGATATTCTGTCCAGCTGCAGGGCATTGGCTGGGTGATGCTGAACAGCGTCGTGGCTGTGTGCGATCGGCTTCTGCAGCGACTGCTGCTGTCGAAGGACCACAATAGCATTAGGGCCCTAGCAACCAAGTAAGATCCAACAGGGGCTTTGAGGCTTTGAAGCTGAAAGCGGTCTTCTTCCCGAGTGCCTCGGACTTTCCCGACCCATCATCCTCCCCCATCAAATCCAGAGCCACTGTAGGCTGCCGTGAGGCAGCAATCGTCTTCTCCCCTCCACATGGAATTTAGGGTTCTGCCACTGGCATGGAACTTCGCTTTGGCCTGAGTCCGCATTCTGGCATCCCGTAATGTACTGAAATGTTGGACCTAAACCCTAAGTGGCGTTCACGGCATCAGGACCAACACCCTGTGGACATCTCCAAGACAGGCCAGCGGTAGAGGAGCTGGACGTGCCAGCATGCCACGCGTGGCATGTCATTTTTTCCATAGTGGATTGTGGTGTGGCCGAGCACGAACAAGCATTTCCCCCTGACAATTTTGCTCGGGCCGTGCATTTCAATGGAAGCTGCAACCCCAAGATTGATGCAGCTCACCCTGTGTAGTGCAGGCATCACGGAATCCTGGCTGAACAGTGGCAGCGTTTGTCTTATCTTGGAGAATTCATCGGCAGGATGCTGTTTCTCTAGAGCACCGAAAGAATCCAGACTACGCGCTGACTTGCTTATGCCTGTTCTGTCACGCTGGCTACCAGTGCAACATAGCCCCCCTCCAACAAAAAGATCTGAGATCATCAACAACATGATGGGACTGATCCCTGTGGGTCTGGCTGCCTACTTCATGGGAGAAGTCGGCAGCATGATTGCACTTTCAGAGCGAGCTGCTTCAGACGGTCATGGAGTGCATAGCAATGCTCCCGTCTTTGACTCCTTTTGCGCAGCATGGTTGCCGCAACCAGAGTATTGACACTTTGTCCTGCCTTGGCTCACATCTGGAGACTGGGTTGCTAAGTTGTAGGGAAGCTATTGTTCAGCGCTGAAAGTCTCAACCATGACACCGCGAGTTCAGGCCAACTGCCCGAGGCATATGCCAATCTTACAGGCCGCGGGTCGGAAGATGGGGGTCATGTCAGCTTTTGGCTTTGGTGTTGCAGAGCGCCCCGGCGCGTGTCGACGGCATAGGGTTCCCCACGACGAAGCATGTTCGTCTGTGTGTGCGCATTGCAAGTGCATCATCACACCTTTGTGCTGATCTCAGAGGCCCTAATTAGGCCCATCCTTACCTGACACATTCCGATAATGAGCTCATGCCAGCCTTGGACCTGCTTGGAGTTCGGCTTGCAACTTGGGCCAGGCTTGGACAAGGTGTACATCGGCCTCAGCTGTGTCCCTTGGATTCCCTGCAGGCTTAGCACAGCTTCTGGAAAGATGGGCTTCATGAATTCTATGAAGGCTCTGCGTCACCAAGCTGGTAAGATCCAGGGCTACGTGAGGGCACTCGTGCTTGCGAATTTGGATGCAGCCTTCTGTTGCCGCGTTTGCGCAGTACTTGCAGCAACGCCTCCATGCACACCCAGGTCATCGGCCTGTCCATCGGCTTCACGGGAATCTGGGCGCAGAGTCTGATTAGCAGCCTGGCTAAGGGGTCATTTCTGGAGGTTTTTTTTGTCGGAAATTTCAAGGTGTGGGGTGTGGCACGTGTTGTCATGCCTGTGTTTTTGCACCACCCTGGATGCACATTCATTCGTTCTTTAATTGCCGGGGGAACCTCCCTTGAGTCATGGTGCAGACGCTTCCGCGCTGCCCAAGATCCCAAAGTTAGGAACTGCTAACGTGAAAGAGCCCCCAGCGAGCTCAGTTGCAGCTTTAAGCCTTAAGCCTTCGGCCCCCTGCCTCAAGCCATGACAAGGCGCGACCAGCTTCCTTGTCATGGTCAATGCCAACAAATTCGTCATCATCGGCATCGAGGCATTTGGCATGCACTCCAAGGCGCCGGCTCAGGGGGGGTTGAGCGATGAGGAATGACGTGATAGTGGATGTTGAGAGCGTCTCGGGCCTCTGGGTCGTGGACATGGGATTTGCACCATCTTCACTTGATCATTTGTGTGTCGTTCGCTGTTGAAAGGGCTCTGGCCAGAAGCTTTCGATAGGATCTTTGAGATGGGTTGGACCTGGTTGGACTTAGACCGATGAATTCCCAGTGTATTTCCTTAAGCAAAGTCCGCTGCCAGAGCCTTCTGATGTCTGGGGAATCTAACCGAATCGTGTAGTGAAAGAGTCCCAAGTCCCAAACATCCAAAAGTACAATTCTGTCCTAAGCAGAAAAGAGTGTCATTAAACAAACTTGCATTGCAAATCGTATGTTTCCGTCCGAAAAAAAACCTGCTGCAGTGAGTTTTTGTCGTTGCTTTGAACGTAAGCAGAAAGGCAGGTCGGTGGTTCAGCCTTGGTCGTGTGGGTTCCGGCCTGGGCACGAAGACACTCGGGTTTCCCTGCTTTGGATGTCAAGTGGCAGTGCAGAGACACCGCAATGAGAGCAACAGCCGCGCCGTGGAGGTGTTGTCTCATGGCCAGATTCTGGGAGCCTGCCTGTCCATCTTGGGTGGCATCCTCTACGGGAAAGCACGTCAGCAGAATCTCGAGCTTTCAGTCGGTCTTTCCTCAAGTGGGATGCTCTTTGAGGTGTGGAGGCTTGACAGGGCCACGACGTGTGAAGAATTGTGCATTCCTTTTGTCCAAAAAAACCGCACACGTTCGAAGCCACTTTGGGACAGTCAAGGATCGAGCAGGAGGAGGAAGAGAGGAAGCAGCTGCTGCCCAGCGTGAAGGTATAGCCATTCTTTTTTGACCGAGTGCCTTGCCTCAAGCGAGCAGTGCCTGAGCATGTCTAGGCATGTCTTTTCTTCGGCACAGGAGCACGAGACTAGATATCCAGTGCAATGCACATTGCCTTAAGTTCTTAAGCCACTCTTTGCATGTCCCCTTGGCCCTCTGCGTCTGTTCGAGAAAGCAAGGCAGAAGCTCGGCTGAAGTGCGGCGCTAATGAGCCCCACAGCGTGGTGCCGTTAAGCGGCCAGTAGGGCCAACGCCTGCTGCATGCGACGCTTAGAAAAGAGTGTCATTGCTGCTCTCTGTCTTTCTCTTTCCCTGCCTCTTCCCTTCTTTCCCTCCCTCTCTTTCCAGCTCCGCTTCCCCCGCTCTCAGTCCCACACCCTCCCGCTCCCTCTCCTTTCTTCCTCTAGTCCTGCTGTCCTCCGGTCTTCGGAACACTGGCAGCCGGACTAGTCGTTGATTTCGTGCTGTGTCTACAGCCTGACCTCCTCTTAAAAGGTTGCCTTCGCCTCCGAACTCTTCTCGTGGGTTGGCAACTGGGCCAGCAAGCGTTTGTTGCTTGAGAGGCATATGCTGTCGTTCTTTTCACAACCCGAAGGGCTGGAAAGGGTTGCTGTCCGGTCATCACAAAAGCTTGCAGATTGGGACCTGGGGCATAACAAAGCTGTGTGTCCCGACAAGAGCAGTCACTTGTCAGACCTCGTCGGCACTGTTTTCAGCAATTACTACTCCTTGGTTGCGCATTCAGCCCAACCCTCTTTCGTTTGCTGGTATCGGCGCATCAGCTTGTGCACCCTGTGCACGGTTCTTGTCCATTTGCTCCAAGGCATGGGTCTTGCAGCGGGTGGCTTCGCATGGCGGCAGCATGGTGGAGACTCTCAGATATCTGGCTCCTGGGCAGACGAATGCTGGGCTGGGCTCCATTTTGCAGGGTGCGATCCTGCCAGAACTGAACCGAAGTTTAGCAAGTTACGGGAAAACCTGCGCAAACTACGGCTGCCTTTTCGCAACAATCAGTCAAGCAGATCTTCAGGTTTGCTTCCCAGTTCTGTTCGTCCTGGCGCTGCCGAGCATCATGAAGTCTGAATTCCAGGCATCGGCTTTCAGCACTTCTGAGGAAGTCTAGAACAGAACCTTGACGTGCAGGACTTGGCCTGGAACTGGCTTAGCCACAACGGGGTGCCCATTGCTCGCAAGAAGGTGCCGACTGCATGATCAGTCCCTTTAGGCGCTTAAATCTGCCAGAAAAGCTTGAAGATGCTGTATTTGGTGGACCAAGATCTTACTTTCGCACGTCAACTACAGACGAAGTCGTGTCCTTGGCCCCGCCCTTGAGGAGTTTCCGCCCTGCGCTGGGCCTGCAGAGCAGATGGAGCATGTGCAGAGCGGCATGTCCCGGACGCGGAAACGCAATCAGGAATGTGAGGCGGCCTTGGGCAGCTCAAGCGCGTCTGTGCCCGTAGTGATCACTTTCTTTCCTGTGCGGATGCCAGAGAACCACATGGCTGTTGGCGGACAGGTTGGTATATGGGGAGGTTGCATCCGACTTAGGTCCTGGGGCTTGGCTACATTGGCTACATGGCATGAGGTTATGTATGAAGCTTCTCACCTCTCCGTTCGGCAGGCGGTTTGGGTGGACACAGAGAGCATGTTCATGGAGGAGCGTCTCGGAAGGGTGGTGTCTCTCACTGGCCCAACTTGTTTGTCTTGCTGCATGCATGCAGCCTTCGTCAGCCGATGGGCTGTGTCCTGCACGCTCTCTCGTGATTTGTCGTGTTTAGCCGAGCGCGAGCAGTAGAATGTGGAGGATGTGGCGCAAAACGGCAGCGAAGAGGCCGGCCCGTGTGCTTGACTTGCAAGCCCACAAGCTGGGAAGAGTTCCGAAAACAACGGCGTCCTTGGATCCATCTGCAATGGCAGGACTTGGATTGGCTAGATCGGGCAAGTCATGTGATGCCTCACAGTGCAGTGGAAGGCAGCTGCGGTGGTCGCAGAAACTCCTGTGGCCCAGCGGGCGCAGCAGCTGGCCCGGCAGGCTTGGCTTTGGGGCCACAGAAGTTCTCGAGTTGGGTACCGGAGCTGGCTAGTTCTTCAATTATTCTGTGCAGAACTCTGTCAACCTATTGTGCTGCTTTGACAGGAGACGCTTAGCAGTAGCAACCTGTAATACTCTGCTGTTCCACGACTCACCGGCGAGGCAGGTGTGGACTTCCGAAGCGTGCCCTGCCATGGAGAATGCTGGTGCCTGCGTGCCGTGTGTACATGTATATGTATATAGACATATATAGGAATGACAATCATGACAATAGTGACTAGGCAGGTCCTTGGGACATTTCATGTTTTCCTCTATTTGGTTTAAGAGGATCATAAGTTACGAACGCTTGTCTAGGGGTTTTAAGCGTCATCCTAGGTAACAACAATAAATATCATGACATGTGCCCCCCCCCCCCCCCCCCCCCCAACACTTCCCCGGCCTGAAGCTGCGGGTTGACCCTACTCAGGCATCCGCCCCACCCCTTCCTGGGCTGAGTTTTAAAGCTCTCTAATTATACCCGCAACTTCGAACCCCAATCCCTACCATAAGTGCAAGCCCTAGAAGTGTAAGCCACGAGCATATCACACACCAAAAAGTGTGTGGGGAGGGTGGAAGCCGACTCAGCAAACTGGCCTGGAGAGAGGGGGGCCCTTTACTTGAACCTTGCCTGCTGCATGCGAGAGTCGAGAAGCACCGAAGCCCCGAAGCCAAAACACACCGAAGCCGAACCGTAAAACCCTGCGGAGTTGCCCCAGTGCGGGTCAGCGAGGTATACACCTATATGTATACCCGATTGAACCTTGAACCTGCAAGCTGATAAAATAAGCCCTGGACGCAGCCCGAAGCCTTGAAGCCAACCGCTACGACCACTCCACCGGAGGTGTTGGATTTGGGGGCTAGGTTGGGTTTGGGGTTTGAGGGTTGTGGGTTTATTTGGGTTGAAGGATAGTGTTTGCGGGGAGAGAGACCTTTGGGACACACTTGGGCTCAGTGCTTTCGCCACAGGTCCCGGAGCCCGAAATCTGAGGTGGACTCCTTGCGCATCGCGCGGCTCTCCATCCTCCTCAAGAAGCACATGCGCCCCAAGAGCCGGACTCTCACAGTGTGGGCGATGTGGGCGTCGGATAGCTCAGCGCAAGCTGCAGGTCCCAAACTCGCGCTTCTCCAGTCTTTTCGGCTCAGTGAGACCCTCCTTCGGGGATGACACCATGCTATGGACAGCTAGCAGATCAGGCTTGGAACATGTGGCACATGAGTTGAACAGAATTCGACAGTGTTGTAGGTTGCCTAAGGCCGGGCTCTTATCAAGTATGCGAGGCAGCATCGGCTTGTTTTTTCATGTGTGTTTCCGCTCAGGGCCAGGCTACGTGCATACATGCTGCATATCCAAATTGTACATAGTTTTCGCCTGCAGAACAAAACCGCCTGGAACCACCAGCTATTATGATTCACCCCTCATGGCTTCCTGCCGTGCTTTGGTTGACCACCTTCTTCGACGGATCTTGGGCGCTAGCCACGCCGCGCGCCGAAGGCCCTTCCTCCGGTCATCCACGCTGTCTTCCGGTGCGCCGTGCGGCTCCACCGCGGATCCAGGTCAGCGGGAGCCCCCAGTCCAAGCGTGCGTACTTCCGCGAGCTGTTCAGCAAGAGCTGGGAAGCGTTCCTTGCAGAGCTGGAGGAGCCTGATGGGTATGGTAGCTCTGGTAGCTGTTGCGTGGCTATTCTTTGCGAGCCGTCCCCGGGGTCTGTGGGGGCCACGCTGAGGGTGTGTGCCCTGCTTGGTGTGCCCTTCTTGCTGGTGCTTGGCGGTCTGGGCTCTGCTGCCAGGAATAAGGAGATCCGCATCTCACAGCTGCAACGAAGGCCAGACTGGGGTGTTGCCCTGCTCACTCCCCCTGTAGAGGTGCTTCTGCCAGAAGTCCTGGAGAAGCTGAGGGGCTGCGGCTTCTCCACCTTAGGCCTGAGTTATGACAACGATGTGCCTGACGTGTGGGAAGCGGACCTCACAGACGACCGGATGGCCTTGATCTTTGGGGAGGATGGTCGAGAGAGTCTGGATGAGGCCCGGGAACACGTTCAGGCTGTCCGCATACCAATTGCTGAGGGGCATGGGTGCCGACTCTCACTACCGCATGCGGCCTCCATGGTCTTCTACGAGCGCCAGCGACAACGCGAGCGCGCCAACGGTATAAGGTTGCAGGACATCAAACGCTTGGGTTCTGCGGATGCTCTGTCGCGGGTCGGTGGCTAAAAATCAACCTTCAGTCGGTAACGCTGCAGTGCCCACGTAACGTAGGAGTTGCGGCCTTCTAGCGCGACAAGATGGCCCCTATGGCCAACTAGGCAATGATGGGCCACTCAGTGCGCCTGCATCCCAAACATCCCAAACATCCCAACAACATCCACCGCAGATCCTTCCGACAAAGGTTGCTTGCACTCTCAATTTCCCAAAGCCAACCTGTAAAGGGAGGGAGCACTTGACATGCAAACCCCAAAGTTGCTGGAAACTCTCGGACTCGAACAATTGTTATTAAGCAAATGCTTGCCAGCGTGTTTTGTTGATTTAGGCCGTCAAGCCATTCGAAACAGAATCCTAAGCTACTCGCCAATCCGAATGCTCTCGCAGTCTGGGGGCGGGGGGGGGGGGGGGGGGGAGTATTCTGAATATGTAGTCTGATAGAATATACTGTACAATTTGCAGTATATATATATATGTATTTATATTAATATATATATATATACACATACATATATAAATAAATAAATATAAATATAAATATATAAATATATATATATATATATATATATATATATATATATGCATGCATGCATGCATGCATGCATGCATGCATGCATGCATGTATGTATGTATGTATGTATGTATGTATGTATGTATGTCTGTAACAAGTAGCATGTATAGAACGTGAGGTGAGGCCTTGGAGTTCAATGAGCTGCGCGAGGCAGCCAGGGGCGGGGGGGTTGGGCTTGCAGGGGGGGATCTTTGGTCGACATGGAGTTCAACTCTGATGTGGGAAGAATGACTTGGCAAGAGCTTACTCATGTCTGTGTGCTCGAGTTTTGAGGCTCGGTTGTTCGCTTGGGGCGAGCTTGCTATGTGGACCTCTGCAGGGTGTTGTCTTTTTCAGTTCACAGCCACCCCCGCAAACTACACGGACTTCCGCCACAAATCAGGTTAAGAGATCACAAAGTTCCAGGCTCCAAGCCTCAGCCGGCCGTTGAGGTAACGGCTTGATATCAGAGTCTGATTTACGCAGCAGAGCGGCCATTGAAACTATCCTGAACGAAATTCGGCAGCGTTTTCGCAATGAGAACCCATGCGAGTGCCCGAGGCCTGCACAGAGGAGCACAGTTTCCTGCAGTTGGCAGAAGAGCGCCTGGAGGCCGGCATCGGTTTAGGATTTAGAGTTTACGGTTTTTACACGCCTGATGACAAGGGTTTGCAGGCAGGCTCTTGCCAGAGACTTGTCACTGGCGACGACGATTGAGTTTCTCCTGAGTCTTCTTCGGTCATGCCTTGTTGCTTCGAAGGGTGCGGTCACCTGCTGTTGGGCTTCGTATCTGGTTTGGCATGGGTTCGCTGTCACATTCATTCAGATTGTGAGGTTTTCCACACGACAAGCGACACATTAGGACACCCTGCGCCAAGCTTACTGTAGTGTCCTGACGATTTCGAGGCTTGGCAAGCGCAGGTAGGGACACGTTCCATTCTATAAGTATGGATTTGACAGGCTATTTGGCTCGATGTGATTCAAATCTGTCTGGCGAATTGTGCTACTCAGTGATGAATGAGTCGGTGCCCAACGGGCTGCCCAAAGAGGCTTCTCTCCACTCTTGTTGGAAAGGTTGCCTGTGCAAGCAGGTATGCTGGCCACGTAGCTAGATATTTGTGGTGTGTCTTGAGCAACAGCATAGATCCTTCCTGACTGTATAGGCCTCATTCTATATGCAGATGATTCTAGATTTCAGCGCGTGCAGGTGATGCAGACTACGGACCCTCAGGCTGCATGCTCAGTTCAGCTGGCCGACCTGCAGGCATGTTTTCAGTTGTCGAAAGTTTTCTTGAAGTCAGGCTTTGTAAGTGTGTAAGTGTGTGTGTGTGTGTGTATATGTGCGTGTGCGTTTATGCACACTACGGCATCACACCAATCAAGCTGAGAGATGCCGCAACGGCATGGGTGACATGGTTCCTTTGTACCTGTTGACGAACCCCGAAACGCAAACTGTATGGAGTCGCACAGCACACTCTTGTATTCGAAGGACTCCAAGAGCTTCAAGCTGCATTACACTTAGTGGCACGTGCATGTATGTGCATTTCTTTTGATGATTCTGCTGACATGAAGCAGTACCTCGACTCCTAGGGTCCTAGACTCGCCAATGAAGAAAATGCAGTCTGCCAATGTAAACGCAGTAGAACAGGGTCGTCCAGGACACAAAGCCCCTGAAGCCCTGAAACCCGAGGAAGCGGCAAGCACCTCGAAGTCGGATGGCAGCTTGCTTCGCCCACTACAGAGCTGGCTGTGCAGTGGTGCCAGGAGAGCGGGGGAATCCTTTCATCACTACAGCTTTGGCATCCAATCACTGCGGTGGTTCGAGAGTGCAAGGGTTTGGGTTATGTGGCGACGAGTTGTGGGGTTTTAGGTTGTCCAGTGGCGTGAACTGCATTCTACTTCAAGATCGTGGCCTGTGGCGATTCCTTTTTTTTCAAGTGGCGGTATAATTCAATGCAGAGGATCCACCGGGAGGGTGCCACAAATGCGCCTTGGGACTGCCAAGTCGATGCGCCTCGGGCTGTAAGAAGCAAGAGTACGAAGCACAGATTCAGGGATGTGGCACGGACTTGCATGAAGTAGTAAGACAAGTGGGCTTCTGGACTCGACTCTTGCAAGTCTTGTGCCGAAGAACATGAGGTGCTTCTGCGCTGGGATGGCGCTCCACTCAACCTGGGTACTCTGCATGAAGCCGTGCGATTTGTGCAGCGTCAGCACCCCATGCTGTGCCAAGGTGGCAGCAGTGTTACTTGTGGAATGGTGAATAGTGCTGGCCATGAAGATTCGCCGGGGTTGGTGTGTGGCCCAACGACACACGCTCGCTGTACTGTTTCTTGGTAGAGTCTCGCTGCCTTCCCATTGCCAGCAGGGTTAACAGATTTTCAGGTTACAGGAGAAGCTGCAACGAGTTGCGCTGAGGCGAGCGCGGCCCCCACTGGATGCTGCTTGGCTTGCAAGGCACATGGAGAGATGCTTGCTTCCCAGTCGGTCCCCTCTGCTCATGGTCATGCTTCAGATTTATAGGGTTTATTGCATCCTAGAACGACAAGAACCGTGGCTGCTGCACGAGTTGGACTGTTGGACCGCATCGACACATCATTGTGCCCACATAAGGACAGCACCGACTTGAAGCTGGGTTGCAGCGGCAGCGGTTTCTCCACGACGGCCCAGCCGGCATCATTGTCTGGTTTTCGGCATTGTGTCATACACTTGGGCGAGGATTTTGAGGTTCAGGGTTGTTGTTGGGGGCCAGCCAGGGCCTGTGATTTTTCTTTTTGCTGAGGAATCGGAGGCGCTGGCGCCAACTGTTAGGTAATCAAACCGGGCTTGATGAAGCCTAAAGAGCACGCATGACACAAGCAAGTCCCAATCCAATCCACATTCAACATTTTGCATGGTTGAGATCGTAGGCTGCGTGCGAGTGTCGGATCTGCAAAGTGGCGAGGTTAGGAATGCGAAATATGCGAATCACGCGAAGTGGCAGAATGGCTCGTGTATTGACGTTGGTTTCAGGATTTTGGGAGGCGTTCGGGTAGTGCGGCCTCGGCGTCGTGCTTGGGTAGCAGAGGCTAAGTCTTATCACGTGAACCTGGATGTCACAGCCCCAGCTCTTCCCAGCAACCTCCGACACATCGGTATGAGGAATGTATGAGGCCTGGCGTTCTAACGCTACGCGACCCACCTCGGCCTGGGCCCAAAAATGTCAAATAAAGGGGTCGAATATGGTTCGTTGAGGGGGATTAGATGTGCTTTGTGTTAATCAGACACGGCCCGAGGCTTCGGCTGATGAACACCTTCAATACCTCTGATAATGCACTCGCTCTCAAGGGGTTACGAGACTAGCCAAACGCTCGGCAGGTTGCAGCCACTTGGTCCTTGCTTTGCGAGCAGGGCGCGGTTCCACGCAGTCTGCGGAAGCCTGTGGCTCGTGCCAGAATGGCTTCAGGGGGTTTGGGGTTACACTAGGGGTTGCCTCCGTGCGCTTTACAGTGGGCGGCTTATCTGCTCTGTCCATGCACTTGGCATGTGGATTCCGGGGGGGGGGGGGGCTTAGCATGGGAGCTTTTCAACACTTCCTTGTTTAAGAAAACAAGTTTTTCATGTTTGCCGTGATGCTCCAAGAGACTCCCGGAAATCTGCAAGCAGACGGTTTTCTGAGCACTGCCACGCATCTTGCATGTCCTGCTTGGCCAGCGTTTGTCTTGCAAAGGTCGCAAAGGCTCTCTTTCTCTGTTGGCCTCGTACTGCCATCTTGGAGGAGTGCAGCTGCAGGTCGTGAAGCTCTAGCTTTGACCGTTTGATACCGTTTGACCATGTAAGGTGGGATTCTGATCCGTTAAGCCATGTTAGGGCCTAGTTAGGGCAAACTTGAGGTCGTGGGCTCAACACTTCTGGCTAGCACTCCTCTCATGGCCGATAAAGGTCGAGCATGACCAGGAGGGGTTGTTGTGCGGGATCTTTGGCAAACAAACGCTTCAGGGAGGTCCTTCTTCTGTCATTCTTGGGCTTTCCCGTGCTTTGCTTAGGCGACTTGTTTGCCGTGCGAGCTTGGCAGAGAAATACTTCAGAGCCAACCCTGTGAGGAGGCTGCCCCTTTTGACATCCCGGTATTGTCCCAGCAGCTTGGGCTAGGTTTGGCAAGTGAGTCTGAAGCAAAGGGCCTCCAGGACAAGCTCACACACATGGGCCGGTGGGACTTCTAACCTGGTTATCCAGAAATGTGTTGCGTTATAAAGTTATACAGCTTGAAATTCTGTGCCTTGAGATGTAGGTTTCTGGCTGGATGACCCTGGAAGCATCCGAAAGCATCGCAGTTTACATTGCCGCCCTGCAGTGCCCTCCAAGCGTTGATTTCCGCCTGGGATTTATCGGGGGCGCCCAGGATCTACAAGGGTGGCGCTGGCCAGTGCGAAGTCGATGAGGTGTACCGCGCCTCGCTGCAGGTCGTGTTGAAGGGCGTGGGTCCAACGGTGGGTACCGTTTGTGTGGATTGCGGAGGGCCGCCCAAGATTCCCACAACAACCCTAACCCTAAACCCGAAACCCGAATCATCGCGAAGCTCATGAGACAGCGTCCATGGTCATCGCAATTTCAGAAGTTGCCCCTCATGAGCGAGGGTCGGGCGAAGCCCACAAAGGGAGAATCCATCCCAGCTTCGGACCCATATTATCTATATAATATATATATATAATACATTTTTTCATACTGATTTAGAGAGAGACATATACGTCTGTCTATCTATATAGATGTGCGAATATGTATGGCTCGAAGGTCCGTTTTCTGGCTGTTTCTATTTCATCTGCCGTCTTGAGCATCTTGAGCTTCAGGATGATGGGCACCCGAAGAGTGAAGATTGAGAAACATGAGTCTTCAGTCTTCGGTTGGGTACCTTAGGTTTTATCAGCACGTCCAAGACGGACAGTCAAGACGATACTCTTGCTGAAATGTCGACAACCTATCTCTATGCTCCCGAAGTACCCAACTCTTCACACCCATCAAGCAAATGAATATGTGATGTCGGGCGTTGTGCCGATTATATCTCTCACTGCCCTACATACGGCTCTGCTATAGTCCAGGATGCCGCGAGTAGTTAGAATCTTTCGAAGTTGTATTGCAGTATCATAGTTGGTGTCTTCCTTCCCCCAGACCATTTTGCAGGTTCCAAGAGTCATGTTGTTGCTTCAACATGTGGTTTGGCGTTATTCCATACTGGCTGAAGAAGCAGCTATGATGAATGACATGTCTTATCACGGACTTCCAAGTAGTCTGCTAAGTTCGTCAACGAGCATGTTTAGGATAAGTGTTATTTCTGATGAACCGTTTGGCGGTTCTTCGTTCTCTATCGTTGTCCTTTCGTTTCGGTTGTTCAGGCGTTTTGTGTTTCAGCAGTTGTTGAAAAGCTGACAATAGCTTCTGCCTGCATCTCTTGACAACATTGGGATCTGCAGGCAATGTAGCAATGCGAGGACCCCTTACAAGTTAAAGTTCGACCATTCAGGAAAGACAAGAATCCGAAGCAGATTGTGTCTTCTCTGTAAACGGCCAATCTATACATTCTTCACGTTTCAAGGAGAATGCCGGTCACTTCCCTATGTGTATCTGTATGTATGCATGCATGCATGCATGCATGTATGTCTGTATATATGTATATATGTATGTGCGTGGGCGTGTGCGTGTGCGTTTGCGCGTGTTTGTGTGTGCACGTGGGTGTGTGTGTGTGGGGATTGTCGGACCTGCAAGAAGAACCGAAACATCCCGCTATGTCGCAGCAGCATTGGGGAGCGTTGCTTCCTCTCTTTCTCTGTTTCTCTCTCCTTTACTTCTCTTTCTCTCTGTCTGTCTCTCTCTGTCTCTCTCTGTCTCTCTCTGTCTCTCTCTGTCTCTCTCTGTCTCTCTCTCTCTCTCTGTCTGTCTCACTAAGCCTTGTGAAGTGAAGGAGGCTGAGGATGGCTTGCGTCGTAGAATTTTCCATCCTTTAGGGTTGAGGGTTGAGGGTGCAATGCGTCTAGGCTGATGGAATACAGCGTCCTCCTGTCGAGACTTCTCTAGGAACAGAAAAGGGTTGCCTGCCTAGGCGTGATGAACGACTCTGGCTGGGAGTGGTGGAATGCCACATCGGCTCTCAACATGCGCCGGGTCTACAGCACGTGGCTACTGTGTTGTGTTGACAGACATGCCTCAAAGATTGAGATTGAAGCGCTTCGTAGTCATAGGCGCAGAGACACCCCAAGATACCCCAAGAAAAACCTGGGGAGCAGCGGCACGAGATGTTAGGAGAATTAGGAGGGGTTCACGAATGAAGCTGACTTGAATAATTCTTTTTGGATCCGAGGCTCTGGTATGTAGCGACTGTAGCGGATTCTCGACAAAAGCTGCATAGCGCCGCTCCCCCAAACGGGCAAGACGCTCCAAGCGAAGCGTTCCTCCCAGCAAGTCGCCCAAACGGCAACCCCAACTTGTACAACAGGATCTGCACTCTCTTGCGCGTGTCCGTCCGTCCGTCCATACGTGCGTCCGTGTGCGCGCACGCGCGTGTGTGTTAATTTTGTGGGTGCGCGGCCTGCGTGACAAGTGGTGCCATTCAATTCTCGAGCCGGCTGTCCAGTGGAGGTGCCTTATCAAGTTGGAGACTGATGAGCGGGTGGTGCCGTACCTGTACTGCAGCATCACGCACAAGCAACCTGACCTTGTTCAGCTTCACATGTGATAGGTTTGCAGTGTTTGTACTTCAGCACTCATCATGACTCAATCGTCACTGCACGTGTCTCTTTGTGAAGACTTCGTCTGGGACGCTTAGTTTTGGCAGGTACGCAGATGGTGGGGCGATCGCTGCCTTCGTGCATGCTTTGGAGGACACATACCAAGCCCTGGCGCGCGGCGACACACCATCTTGCCAGAGGCTCAGTTCGTTTCGATCGAATGGCCAGAAGATGGACACCAAACCGACGAGGTCGATTGTGCTCTCGATTGAATAGAGTCGCAATTGTCTGTGCTTTACTTGTTTACGGTGCGCAAGTGTTTACATGGTGTGGGCCTTCTTCGGGTTTCCGCTCATCATACAGCTGGTTTGGAGGCATCGGTCACTGATTATCATGTGTGGGTGCTTGCAAGAAGCAGCTCTCCAGCAGGTAGTTCGTCCTTGTGCCACACATCGACGTGAATGGCTTGCACATTGAGTCGACAAATCCTCATCTAAAGCATCCATGCCATCAGCTGAAATCCCGGCGATATGTTGCATTGATACTTGTAGCTATAGCGCACAAGTATTTGCCAGGCTTTGAGCACCCAATCTTGGAGGTTCAGCAGCAACGGCTGCGGCGCTATCTGTACCTTGACTGTTTGGAGCCAGGGGTTCAGCGCGTCATAGTATGTTTAGATGGGTGCGAGTGGGGTTGCGATGTTGTGCTGAGGGCAACATATCGGGCTCCGACCCTCTTTGGATTCCTTGCAAGCAGGGAGTTCAGAACCGCGAACCCTCACTTGAATGCCAAATTAAGCGCATATCTTCTCCAGTCCTCCATCTGAAGCTCTACAAAACCAATCTTGAAATCTGCATGGCTTGTCAACTTCCCAACTGGACTCATGAGGAGTGGTGCTGCCGGACAGGAGGGTGCTGTTGACATGCGCCTTGAGAGAATCTCCAGGCTGTGCCAAGCAAGGCAACGAAGCATCCTAGACGTGCCTGCGTGTGACCGGAGTCCTTCGTACATGCTGTTGGTTCTTCTTCAGCGCAGTCGTTGAGGTACCTCTTCGACATTGTCAACGACACATACTACCACAAGTGGGGGCACAGCGTCCGCCTCTGAGATATCTTTACCGACTCCCTGTGCCCAGTGACAAGTCAGGGACTGTGTGAGAAGATCTTCAACATTTTCGTGATCGGTGTTCGAGTGTCTGGTACGAAGCGATGCGAAGTTGACCGCGAAGCCTGCAGCCTGCGCAGGTTGGAGTGCAATTCACCCCCGGCGTTTGCGAGACGCTCCGGACCTTTGGTTTGAAATCTGGGGTTGCGACCTGAACACAATAGGATAGTCGGATAGTCCTTAAACACCTAAACAGAGCATGCTGGCATGTGCAGATTCCTTAACCGCATGCTCCTCGTCAGCTCCAGGACACTCCGGCCCCGGCTCCTGAGCCTTGTCCAGCCCGACCCGATTGGATCCCTAACTCTGGGGCTTCTGACACCCAGAAGCCTTCCGAAAAGTGGCTGAACAAAAGTAACACTTGGCCGGCGTCGACCCCGAACCGCGCCCAAAAAGCCTGATCACGAGATCCGGGACTAGGATACAAGTGTCCAAGAGGGATCGACAAAAGGATGCGGTTCTGCTCTTCGTGAGAGGGACGGCGGGACCCTTCCAGGAGCTTGCGAGACCGACAAAGCGCCAAGCCCCACACAGCGCAAACGCTACGAAGCCCAGCCACAGTGTGCTTCGCCAAGGCCTTTGGAACTCTGTGAAGCATCAGCAGTCTTTGATATCCCCAACGAATGAGCCCAGTTGGCGAACACACCGTGTGGGGAACCTTTGCACAGTTTTGGCATCCGACTGATGCCTGCCTGCATCTTATGCATCCTGCTCCGTGAGGATGGCTGGGCAACGAATGGCATGCAGCGAGGACAGATCTGTTACAGCACGAGGGCTTTGTCTGGCAGCAGCCATGCCCAACAACGAAGACCTGCACGCAGCGACTCAGTTTTGAAGCGTCGCAGCCAGCTGAAGTTCCCACTTGAACTCTGGCCCCCCGAGCTGCGCTTCCAGGAGATTGCCTGGCTCTCCTGCATAGTCGCCGCTATGTTTCGGTGGGGGCCGTGGGAGCGGGAAGGTGTTGAGCCGTTTGGGTTGTGAGCAGCTGATCAGGAGTGTTGCGGCAGGGGGACGCCAGGGTATAAACTACAGGCTGTAGGTTGCCAGCATTTGCCAGCCGGTAGAGATCAGTGACGATGTTCCTGAATTTTTCTGAAGGATGCTGCCCGACAAGTTGCTCCGTATTATGGTGGTCCACAACGGCAGGCTGCATCAAGGGCTGTGCTGGAGTCTAGGATGAGAGAGCGGACGGGAGCCCGAGAGACAGACAGAGAGAGAATGGGTTTAAATTTAGAGTTCGTTGGCGATCAGGCAAGGGTGCTGGGGGTGGGATGCATAGGCAGTGACAGCCACAGCTGAACCCAAGCTGAGTGTGAGGTTTGCAACAAGTTTGCGAGCAGCAGGGGGTCAGTCTGGCAGGGAGTTCTGCCCTGCAGAGAGATACCGGTCTCCACACAAAGTGTGGGTGCGCAAACTGCGCGGGGGGCACCGCCCCTTAGACCCCATGAAAGAAGGAAGAAAGAAAGAAAGCAACAAAGAGAACGATGCATCCAACGGATGATGATGATGATGATGATGATGATGATGATGATGATGATGACCATCATCATCATCATCATCATCATCATCAGCATCATCATCAGCATCAGCACCATCCCATCACCGCCACCACCACTACCATATATCACCATCAATCATGATCACGATTACGACGATGACACCGACGACGACAATGATGATAGCCATGATGACGATAATGAAAAGGAGGAGGAGGAGGAGTAGGAGGTGACGCGTGAGGTGGTGTGCCTACAACAGCAAGTTATACAGTTTTCGGGCAGCAACGTGGGAGGGTTGCGGGAGCCTGCGCTAAAACAGCCTATGTTGGGGTCGGCCCATGTCCGTGTTGTACTTTACGAACTCAAATACAATACGAGCATATCTATACTCGCTTGTAACTTCTTGAGTAGTCCTGCGTGAAGTATGCCTCAGTGCCAGGATGGGAGATGCCGAAGGCGCTGTGTCCTGGCTGACATTTAGACATATCCATGCTGGAGTTCATGCGGTACAACTGAGTATGAGGGCGACCCGTTCCTTGGACTGATGTTGCACTCGGCCGAAGGCTTCCTGCTGGCTTGTGCACGCTTTACCTTTTCTGAGAGCTTAATCGTTTTTGGCTGCCCGCATTCGCAAATGTCGGAAACTCCGTATGTGCAAGTCTATGCTGCTTCTCATCCTCGAATTCCTTTTCAAGGTGGCCTGTACCAGCAACTACGTGATGCTGTCTATTCCGTGTCTCGATGCTTCGTCGACGCCACTTGCAGACATCGCCTCCCGGGTGAAATACGTCCCTGCCCCAGCTCAGTGACAGAGTGCATGTAAGCTCAGAGGGGCCCAAACATTGATGCCATCGATCCCTCAAACGTCATCAAATAATGGCTGCTAGACATGGGGAACATAGTTTTCCAAGTTTTGGTAGTTGTTCCACGTTGTTCCATAGGACTGCTAAACGCACCATAAGGCCATCACCCACGGGAAGTTCCGCCGGCCAACCACTTGTGAGCAAGCACACGCTGCTTGGCAGGATCTTTTGGGTCTCGGACGTTTCAGGTCAGTTGCTGCCGCATGGAGACTGGAGTTGATCATGCATCTTTAGATGAGTGGCATCGTGAAGGCTGTAGCTTCTGTGCGCCCCAGCTCCTCGAGTGCTCACAGCTCCCACGAAGTAACAAGCACGCCTGTCATGTGTTCGTAGGCCATCTTTGTCAGATATACGGAACAGGGGTAAAGACTGAGGCTCGGATCAACATCGGCGGGATGGTGCTTCGGGCTGGAGTGGGAAAGTTGTTTCGTAGTACTTAGCTCGCTTGGTACGAAGTAACAATAAAGGCGTGCTTTGTGCGTGCTCCTCGAGACGGCTGTGAGATGTTACAGTAGTTGCGTGGCCATAAAACTGGGCCAAGCAAGCGGTCTCGAAGCTGCCTGTCGCTGTAAGTTCGCACCCACCTCTTCCCTGTCATCCCACTTTTCTCCCTGTACTCCAAAGAATCCATGCAACCGGGAACCACTGACCGCATTGCCACTAACAATTCGGATTGGACATCGATCATCGTAATTACAGGACTCAGCCTTCCGGAACCCAAAAGTCTAAAGAGATGTCGCGATCTGCCTTTTGACCGACAGCGTCACACGAACGCAAATCAAATGGTCAATGAGTTGGACGTCAGAAGGCCTTGTGAGGAAGTCGATTGTCTCGGTGGTTCGTGGTTGTTGGAAGGGAAAGTGGTTCTGACCTCTAGCCAGTCTCCTGGCTCCCGCTTCCGATTGATCTGCAGAGCCCGGACGCCAAAAAAGGCGGATTGCTGCCACCCTGAACCCTCCATCCAGGCCATGTCTGACTACAGCGCGTTTTTGCGTTCTTTCTTGGGGGTCTCAAGCCCTGAACTTCCGACGTGTGTCCTATCCATTAGCCAGCCCAAATGCACCTCTGATCCTCTGGCAGGTCCATGATCGGCTTGCGTGAATTTGGCATTCACGCTCCTCCCTCCTCTCCTCCCCTTCTGGGATCGTTCCTACGGGCCCCAAATCCGTTCCTTTCCCGGTTGGAGTTGGCCTGGTCTGCGCGTGTACAAGCATAAAGAGGTTGTTTAAGAGGGTCCTTAGCTGGTGGTGTGGTGGTGTATCCTGGCGGAGCCGAGGAGCCCACTTCCTAGCATCTCCTGTTTCCCTTGGAAAACTCGAATGCTAGCACACGGGACTGGGGGCACGCCAGGGACGCACTAAATGCAACATGGATGTGAAGCTGCAGTTACCTCTGTGTTATTCACTGATGTTGTCGCTTGACATCTCAGATTGGCAAAGATGGCGACTTCACGCAAGTATTCAAGACCTCCCATTCCAGGCTTGCTCAAGGGTGGCCTACAGATCGACAGGAGTTTGCCCTGGGGTCTTTTTGTGCGTTTAGACACGCATCTGCCCCTTGCCTGATGTTTACCTTTCAGCGCACCAGCAGATGTTTGTGTCACTGCTTCTGATACGCAACCCCATGAGAGAGAGATGCCCTTGTAAGATTGCATTTCGCCTGGACATGTTTTTGCCTTGCCCATTCTGCGTGCAGGTCTTCGGCATGGAGCCGTGCCCCATATGTCATCCAGCTTCGGATGGACAACGAGGGTGGCATTTGGTGTGTGACTCGTCGGGCGAGGGTAAGGTCTGAGTCTCATGATTCATGGGGCTTATTTAGAGCAAGCAGAGGCTGACCCCGGACCTCACACTCAATACCCTAATTGCCCATTTCTCAACCCGGCTACGACTTCAACCCTTCCAGACAAAACACCCCCAACAATCCAAGCAATACTCCATAACGCAACCCCGAAACAAAGCAACCACAATCAAGTTGTTGAGCTTTTAGATGTGAGGACAATAGACATTATGTGAAGAGAACAACAACAAGAAGAAACTACCATACAATAGCACTTCTTCTTCGTAACAATTTGTATTCTATGTCATGGTATGCAAAGGACAGGGTTTTAGTCTTTGGGTGGTTTTCGAGAAGGGTGTCATACCCCAGTTGGTTTTTTTTGGATAAGGTTAACGATTGTTAGGTGCTTTGTGCGTTGTGATTGTGTTTTGGATATGGGTTTTGCTTGTGGTGAGTTGCTATGTTTCGTGGTGGTCATGATTATTGTATAGATTGTTGGGGGTGTTTTGTGTTTTGCAGGTTTGGATTCGTAGGCGGGTTGAGTTCTGAGGTGAAAGCGTTGTATTGAGTGTGAGGTCTGGGGGAAGGGCAGTGCTTCGGATTTACTTTCGTGCGGTGTTGGGGTGCTTTGTGCTGTGGTGGGTTAGAAGGGTCGAATTCGTAGGCGAGTTGAGAAATGGGGTGTATTGAGTGTGAGGCCTGGGGTCAGCCACTGAGACCCGATGTCCAGCCTCGATACATCCCATGTTACAAAACACATGCGGCATCACTGTTTACATCCTCAAACCCCCAAATGCGGAGTTTGTCCTGGTGAATTCAGTGTCTTAGTAAATGCTCGGCTTGCTTATGTCTTGCAGGTGAAGGATTTCAAGTGTCATGAGTTCGTGGACCCCACAACATTCTGGACCGCGGCACCTCGGTATCATGAGCTGCCTGCATTGTGTGCGGAAAGTATGTCCTTCGATTAGACCTGGTACTAGAACCTTGGGTTGTCTAGATCTACAGGCTAAAGAATCCGCCAAAAAAGGGCTTCGGTTTGGGGCTTAGCTTGTGTTTGCTCTTTTTTATTTTCGTGCAGCTCAGGCAGTTTGCATTGGCAAGGAGATTGCAGAGGGAGCCTACACAAATCCAGTTGAGCCCTGAAACACCTGGTGTTCAGGGAGCACGCATTTGCCGTGATGAGGTCCCGTGGGCCGGGACTCTCTCACTTGTACAGGTGCTTTCCCTAGTCCGGCTGAAGTCATCTGCCACACTGTGGCACTTTCCAGCGCCACTTGATGCTCACTTTTGGCATCTTAGCGCCCGAAGAGACGATCTATGCCTGGCTTCCGCAGCCCGAATATTGCCAAGCGCCTTTTGAGTTAAACAACTATGTAGCATACTGTGCCCTATACGCTTCTGATTGGCCATAAGCAGATTTTGTACTCTCAGACTGTTTGATAAAGTTACGCCTGACTTCCTTCTAGAACACAAACGAAGACGGTAGTGCGCAGGTATGCATTGAGACACCGGTTCCAAGACATCTTACTTCTTCAGAAACAAGACGGCAAATGGCGGTCCGAGGACATAAATGTTATAGCTAGTCTGACAGCGTAGAGTACCAGCATATAGTATGGAATAATGGTACAGCATGTTTGCACCCGACATCAAGTCATTTGCTTCGGGCAGTGGCGCGGGAGATATGGATGAGGTTTTGGTGCAGCAGGTCTTAAGAAGATGATTCTGATTCCTTAGATGGAATTAGATGCATCGGAATCCCGGCTGTGTGCTGGGCCTGTGAGACGACGACTGCCTCCAGCTTTCGGTTCGTCAACGGCGTGCTTGCATGTCAGCTGCCATCAGTCAGAAGATGTCACCCCCAAAGCCCTTAAGATGTGCGAAGTTGAGGCAGTTCAGCCAATTGACTTTCTGGTGGCTCTTTCAATGTGGTCTGACAGGAGCCACTGGAAAGGGTGCTGGAAGAGCCAGACGAGGACGAATCAGGACAGCCTTGGCATGAGACACAGAGCCATTTCGGCTTCTGTCGACCAGGCTGAGGCGGCTAAGGCGGCTAAGGGTCTCATGGTTTGAGGAGGTGGTTGCGGCACGTTGGAGCCATTGTTGAAGTGTGATTTCTGAACGCAGGCCCTATCTCAACTGACTTCATTCTCACACGCATATGCATATGTCATCAGCTGAAGCAAGCGAACCGGGCATTGAATGAAAGGCTGGCGGTTGTGCACTTGGCCCAAGAATCTGATTTAGCTCCAGCTCATGTTCATCCAGGGTTGGCTTCGGGAATGCCAGGTGCAGCAGGCGAGTATAGTTCATGTTCGCGCTCGCACTAGACAAGTGTCAGCATGATTAAATCTTCAAGGTCTGCTCTGGGTTTCGGAAGCTCCTGTGTGTGGCTACCGCTCGGTTTGTATGGTTTGTAGCTGTGGGCTGGCTATACTGCGACGTTGTGTGCGCAGGTGCAGATCTGAGCGCCAGCTTCTCAACACGAAACCCTCCTAGTAAACCAAGTACAGGGTCATGGTCCCGGGTGATCCTGCACTGACTCAGATTGTTGTGCGAGCCTGGAAGAGGGAGCTATGGCGCTGCTGCCTCGGCAGCTGCTGAGCCCCAAGGAGGAGGGAATGCTGAGGCTACTGCGGAGCATGGCCCAGGCCTCCTTGATTGACATCTGACCCCACAGACCCCCCCCAACTGGACTTTCATTGGTGGTGCTGAGAGGTGTGGGTCACAGGCGGATGGCTACGAGATAAAGTCCTGGCCAGCCTGGACGTGAATTTAGAGGCCACCGGCCTAGCATGAATTCCTGGCATGTGGGTCCGTCGTGCTGCGAGTTGTTTCCTCTGCATCTCCAGATGCAGCCAAGGCCAGGGCTCACTGTCAGCGCATCCTGGCTTGGTCACCTTGTTTGTTTTGATGTATATAATCGAGAAATACGAGTCCGGAGCCCTAAACATAAAACATCAAGTCCCAGAAGCCTCGTAAGGCTCTGCCAGAGACATGAGCTTGCACAGCCTCCGATTCAACTAAAGGGGGCTAGAAACAGCTTCTGATCAGGCATCGCCCGCCTTTGTGGGCAGTCGCATGGAGACCTTGACCTAGTGGTGGCGGGGATGTGCCAGGGCTGATTTGGGGGGTTTCCGAGAATACCGTTTTTGGCAGGCAGTTGCATAGCGCGGGTTCAAGAAAGGAACCCTTCTTGGGGGGGCTCCCTTCAAAGAGGCTGATTCTATTACTGTAGGGACTGGCCTGTCAGTGGTGTTAACAGCCCGGATGCAAAGGGCGTTTAGCTGCGTTTAGCTCATGATTGCAGGGGAGCCTCCAAGTTTTGGCTGCTGCGAGTTGCTCGAATGGCTTGAGTGCCAGCATGGCCATGAGCTGTCTGAGTTGTCGTCCAAGGACTTCGGCAGAGTTCTACGCCGCTCGGCTGCCACGTTGCTAGCCCTGTAAGCTGGGCTGCTGGGCTTCAAGATTCCCCCTCAGTTCTTTATGCGTTTCTTTGTTGAGCAATGCAGCCAAGATCATGCGACGGGCAAACAAGATGAGGCAGTATGAAGATGTGCCCTTCCATATCGCACTGCCAGCAAACTGTATGTCAAATACGCTGAGCCTTCTATGACACTACCATTTCCTCAAGAATCCAACCATCACTACTGCCCAGCTCGGCTCAGCGGGGTGGCAACACTGTGAGCTATTTTTGTTTGGAGCTTGCAGGGGCGCTGTGCGCGCGACGAGGCTTTTCGGTCATTGCTGCGGCGTCCACCCCTGCTGGTGGAAGCCAAGGAGACTTCTTGTGGGGAATGATGGGGGAGTGGCTTTGGCGATTTTTCCACTGAATGAGAGCCTTGAATACTTGGAGAAACTGCACAGTTCTTCGGCATGTTGCAAGCGTGCATACGATGGCGCGCTCCCCCCACTGAAACATACTGTTAAACCTAAAGTGCTGAGGAGTGCCATCTGGAGAAAAACATCCGAAGAACTCCTGAAACCCAAGCGCCCGCAGCCAGGGAGGGCGTCCCAACACGGTGAAGCTCACCCTGTCCGAGGAGCGGCAGAACGTGCGGAAAGTTGGGGGTCAGGCTTCTGGTATTTTCTGGGTGGCAGGCCATGACCTCCTACGAAAGGTTGAGCGAACCAGCTAAACGGTCAAGGTTGCACGAAGGATATTGGAGGCGTTGATGCTGGGGTCTGTGTGTGTGTGTGTGTCAATGAATTGGCCTGGTGTTTGTTTACTTTTGTTTTGTTGGCTTTGCTTGGTTTCTGTATTGGTGTTTGTGTTTGTGTTTGTTACGGGAACGTGGAGTTATGGCAGCTCTGAGACAGAACACTTAATGGCCGGCATAAAGGTTGAGGCATCCCACTTGTAGAAGGTCACCGGCCAGTGCAAGCTTCGCCAAATAGAGCAAGACATGGTGTCCCATTAGCTCTTGGGCAGAAGATGTTCGCTGTCACGATCTGGAACACAGCCCTTGTACAACTGTGCGGCAGGTACGGGGTGGGTCTTCTGCTGGGACAGCTGCACTTACACGCTTACACATGTCTACATGCATCATCACACGACGTTGGGAGCGATAATTGCACGACGACTTGTGAAGAGGCGACTGTGGACGTCACAAGCCTTGCGGACCCAAGGCCGAACCAGCTTGTTTTGGGAAGTCTTGTGCGCTTTTCCTTCGCTTTCGTAAGAGGCGAGGTTTTGGATACCATGTGCGGATCTCTTACACATTCTTGTACGCACCTTACACTTAAACCGTGGAGATCTTTGAAGCCTTGTGAAGCCCAAACTGCAAGCTGAAGAAACGAGTCAGGGTGGCCCACACGAGAGAAGCCACACTTGATCACATGGGTCCCCAAAGCGGGTGGACACAACTGCCAGCATTTGTGTGCCGGAGCCGCGGCTTTGAAGAGCGTTCAGAGCCTTCCCGACAAGTCCTCTGGTACCTTCCTGCCCTGTGAAGGCCGGGCAGCGGTGCTCAGAGCGGCCTGGCCCTCAAAGGTAGAAGCAGCTACAGGCCAACTAGATGCAACTTGAGGCGAAGGCAGAGGAGCACGTGATGCTATAGCATGACAGACTTATAGGTCTGGCGCAGCTGCGACGTCAGGTCAAGAGGACTCTCTGGCACAGGACTGCCAACACCGGGACGTGAGCTTCAACGCGCTATATCTCGAAGCGACTCGGAAATCCTTCCGTATCAGGAACGAAGAAGAGGCTGAGAACTTTGCTCCTCATCCTCTGAGGCTGGGGAAGAGGAGGTCCTCGATCCCTGCCACCAGGGCTTGTCCCGGCCCAAGCAGCGGAGCTAGGTGAAGTGCATGTCGCGGCTTATTTTCCAAATATATATATATATATAATTTTATATTATTATGTATTATTGTGAGTTGTCTGCAGCACATGTGGCCGATGCGAGGTCAGACCTGTCATCGGGTGTTGTGCGGACACCTCACGCAGGCTGCAATGCTGCCAGGGAAGCGAAGGTTTTGAAAACCGTGTTCGATGAGATTCGCGAAGCGTGCTTGTGTTTCTAGCAGCTCATATTGCGACAAAGCTAGTAAACGATGGAACGCTGCACGGGAGCCGGTGCTGCGCGAGTCATTTTCAGAAGATCCCTGCAAGTTTGGCCAGAGGGTGACTTTCTTAAAATGCCCGCGCAAGCCAGACATTCGCCATTCCCGGTGTCAAAGCAAAGGCTTCCGTGGGACTTCACGCAGTCGCTGAAAGAGCTGAGCCCCATTTTCCTGGTGTTCACTGGCAGTCCAAACCTCCCCGCCCCAAGGCCTGCAAAGGCCTCAGCCCCGCTTCAATCTGCCGAGGTGGTGCGCTGGCATCTTTCCAAGAAGACCCGGCCCTTTGGCTCCTCTGAGCAGCTTCACAGGGGAAGTAGTAGCTGGTCAGACCTCGGCCCGCCTCAAGCAAGAGCATTTTTTCAAATCTGTGTGCGCCCCACGGCCAGCAGCACATGTTGGAAGCATGGGTGGATGGGTGGACGTGTCCCAGCATGGCGTGGCCTGCCCCCCTGGTATGTCGGAATAATTACTAATAGTATTCCCTTATGGTCCCTTTATGCTTATACTAAAAATGATCCCAAAAACGCTATTCTAATTGTTGGGGCCCAGCAGTAGGCAGGTGGGCCTCCCTAAATCTGTAATTCTTGTCGGCAGGTGCGGCTGCTCCGCGCCTTTCGCTTCGCGGCAAGGTTTGGCTTTCAGCTGGAGGTGCGAGTGGGTCAATGGGCTTTGGCATTGGTGTAGCTTTTATATATATTAATTTTAAGGGGCTGCGCCCATGGGCGGGCAGTGCACGCAGAAGCCCGGGGCGAGCAGTTTCTAAGCATGTTGAGGCACCTAAACTCCCTGAAAATCTCTAGCGTTAAGTTTCTAAGCCTAAGCATTTTCAGGCCCCTAAACTCCCTTCAAATCTCTAAGCGTTTGAGGCTCCTAGACTCCCTTAACGTTTCTAAGCACTTTATAAGGCCCCTAAACTCCCTTTTTCCTAGCCATGGGTTAGACACGTCGCTTATGCCCGCCCTTTGGGGGGCATCATGCTCCTGATGCGCCCCCGGGGTCCCGCCCCGGGAGCCGCTGATGCTCCTGATGCGCGCCTGGGGGTCCCGGGCTGGACCCGCTGATGCTCATGATGCGCGCCCTCTGGGGGCCTCCGTGGCGACGCAAAAAACCACGAAAAAAAAACCGTTCACCGGCGGCACACGGGGGTCGGCGGCACTGGCGTCCGGCCTAATTCTGCTTCGCAGAAGGCCAGAGGCCAGCAAGGCTATTCCCGGGACGACCCGGGTTAAAAGGTCCGCATTTGCTCGGTCCTTTGGGGACCTCGCGCTGCCCGATTTCAGGCCTAGCGGCACGGGCCGGCCCCCGCCCCCCAAAGCACGAAACCTTGAACCTTGGCACTGTCCTCTTTCCCGTGTCTTTGTCCTCTCCTCCTCTCTGTCTCTCTTTCTCCTGCCTTCGCCCCCCCCCCCCCCCCCCCCCCCCCCCCCCCCCCCCCCCCCCCCCCCCCCCCGCCCCCCTGCGCGCGCGCGCGCGCGCGCGGCATCAGGAGCATCAGTGGGGTTGGTTTGGGGGCCTTAAAAGCATTCTATGCATGCGTTTTGCCTTCGAAAAACCTTCAGAAAACGCTGTAAACACGTGTTTTTGGGCTTGGGAAGCCTTTTGGGACCCAGGAAAGGGAGCATCATGAGCATCAGCGGCCTCCCCCAGGCCATCCAAAACCCGCTTAAACACGCCGATTGCATGTGCTTGAACGCTTGCGTGCCCACCAAACCCCCAAAAGCAAGACCCCGAATGCCCTTAAGGGCATTCGGGGTCCTGCTGTTCAGGTGTTTTGTAGGCACGAAGCCGTTCGAGCTTGTAAAATGAGCGATTTTAGGGGCGTTTTTACGTGGACCCACAAAACACTCGGTATTTACGAGGTTTTCTGCCGTTGGAACACCCCCCCAAACCGAGCATCATGAGCATCAGCTGGGTCTCTGGGCCGTGGGCCCGGAGGCCCACGAAGCCCACATGAGAAACGATGGCTCGATGATGCCCCGGACCCCCACGCATCAGCAGCATCAGCAGACCCCCCCCCCGACGTGGGTTTCGATGATGCGCACTTTGGGGGCGGGTCAAGGGCAACAAGGGTGGGGGTCGGAGGCACGCGTGAAAACCCTCATAAAAACACGGTATTTACGGTGATTTCAGCGTTTTTCAGCGTTTTTTCTTGCCTTGGGTCCGCGGGCCAGGGCTGCTGATGCTCATGATGCTCGCCTGGTTTTGGGCTTCCGGTACCCCCCCCAAACCTTGAAAAACATGGTTTCGGCCTGGCGCGCGCCCCATGTGAAAAGCTAGGGTCGATGATGCGCGCCGGTGAGGGTTTAATGGGGTGCTGCGGGTGTTTCGTGGCCTCGGTTTTTCGTAAAAACCCATGGTTTTTACGAGGTTTTCGTGCTTTTCGCACCACCGCGTGTTGCGTCCCCTTGGATGCCGTTTCGGAGGCCTCCCGAAGGGCCCCGCGCGAATTTGAAGCAATTTTAGGCGGGGTCGGCGCCTCGGGCGCTCGCCCCTTAAAGCTAGCGCTTTAGTGCGACGCGGGCTCCGCCCTGGACCACGGGCGGCGCGGGGGCCGGATTTAATGGCTACCGCCAGTGCCGCCGACCCCCAAAAGGGCCAGTGACGTGGGCAGTACTGCGGCCGATCTCCAGAGCAGGCCCGCCTGAGCTGCAATCCCTGATTCACCAGGGAGTTGGGGGCGATGCCTGAAACACAAGAAAATTGGTCGGAGTAGGCAGGCATGGGAAGGGTGGGGATGTCTCAAACACAAAAAGATTGGTCAGGGCGGAGGAGGCCGGCGGGCGGGGGTGGGGCCACAGTGGAAGGGATGGAGGATGGGTGTGGAGAGGTGGAGTGGAATGGTTGGGAAGGGGAAGGGTGGTGGGGAGGGGCAGGGAGGGGGGAAAGGGTTGGCGGATTCGGGAGTGGGGGGCATCGATGAGAGCGGGCGGGCGTTGATTGGAATCCCTAAAACAGCAGAGATTGGTGAGGGGCGGAGTAGGCGGTAGAGGGTAGGCCTGCGGGTGGGACATTTAAAAGATTGGTCAAGGGGAGCGGTCGGAAGGGGGGGCAAGAGGGAGGTGAGCGGGAGGATGGGCAAGTGGAGAGGTGGAGTGGAATGGTGGGAAGGGGAAGGGTGGTGGGGAGCGGGGGGCAGGGGAAGGGGTTGGTGGTGGTGGGAGTGGGGGGGAGGGGTAGGTGGAGGAGGTGAGGTAAGTGGCTGGCCGGAGAGGAAGTGGCAGGGAGGAGTGGGTAAGCAGAGGGTGGGGAGGGTACGGTGAGAGGGGGGACAGGGAGGGGAAGGGGTAGGGGAGGTAAGCAGGATAGGAAGCAGAGAGGGTGGGAGTGAAAGAGGGCACAGAACAGAGGAGGAGTGGCAACGGTAGAGGGTTGGTGGCGGATTAAGGAGTTGGGGGCGAAAGCCTTGGGGGGTGGGCGTGCGCTGCAATCCTTGATTGATCAGGGGAGTTGGGGGCGGATCCCTGAAACAAAATTGGTCGGAGTAGGCGGTAGGGGGATGTGGAGGGGGGGTGGGGGGGAGGGTGGGGGAGATGTGTCAACACAAAAGATTGGTCAGGGGCGGAGTAGGCGGTTGGGGCCACAGGGGAAGGGATGGGGGATGGGTAAGTGGAGAGGCGGAGTGGAATGGTTGGGAAGGGGAAGGGTTGTGGGGAGCCCAAATACGTACCTTTTTTTGGGTCTTTTGGGCTATTTCGGAGGTCGGGCCGTTCCAGGACCGGACCCCCCACCCCCCCCCCGGCGTTTTCAGGCCCAAAAAGACCCAAAAAAGGTACGTATTTGGGAGGTTGGCGGGGGGGGGGGGTCCGGTCCGGGAACGGCCCGACCTCCGAAATACGTGCCCTTTACGGCGTTTTCAAGCCCAAAAAGACCCAAAAAAGGTACGTATTTGGGAGGGGGGGGGGTCCGGTCCGGGAACGGCCCTTTTCAGGCCCAAAAAGACCCAAAAAAGGTACGTATTGGTCCGGGGACGGCCCCGAAATACGTGCCCTTTACGGCGTTTTCAAGCCCAAAAAGACCCAAAAAAGGTACGTATTTGGGAGTCGGCGGGTGGGGGGGGGGTCCGGTCCGGGAACGGCCCGACCTAAGAAATACGTGCCCTTTACGGCGTTTGCAAGCCCAAAAAGACCCAAAAAAGGTACGTATTTGGGAGGGGGGGGGTCCGGTCCGGGAACGGCCCTTTTCAGGCCCAAAAAGACCCAAAAAAGGTACGTATTGGGTCCGGGAACGGCCCGACCTGTTTTCAGGCCAAAAAGACCCAAAAAAGGTACGTATTTGGGAGGCGTTCAAGACCGCCCGAGCGTGTCCAAGTGTTCTTCGCGAAGTGCTTTACGCTACTCTTCTCTTCTCTCCTGAGGGGACTTTGGGCTTGGGGTTTTAGGGTGGCTCAGGGTGTGAGGTTTTTTTGTGGAACCGTGCGAACCGCGAACCGAACCGTCCGGAACCGTCGCTCAAACCGGAACCGCCGAACCGAACCGCAGAAACAGAAACCGTAACCGAACCGAACCGAACCGTTTGTTTGCTGTATATATATATATATATATACATATCCGACCCCAGCAACAGCGGGGCGGCGTCTTCACGTTTCCCCCCCCATCCCTGCCCTGACCGCAACCACCTCCACTTACCCATCCCGCTCCCCTCGCCCTCCACTCCACCTCTCCACTTACCCATCCCCCATCCCTTCCCCTGTGGCCCCACCCAGTGCCTGACCAATCTTTTGTGTTTCACACATCCCCACCCCTCCCACAGCCCCCACCCCTCCCCCACCCCCCCCCCTCACCCCCCCCTCCACCCCCCCCGTGGGTGGCTTAAATAGGGTCTATTTGGAAGCTGGGACTCGGGTTTTCTTATAGCCATACACGTTTCCACGAGGGTACGCTGCTGTCACGTCAGTCGTACTATGGAGGCCTCAGGAACAAGAACCAGGTAGTTCCTCTTTTCTCTTCTCTTTTTCTCCTCAA